GTACAGGTATAGTATAGGGGGTACCTTGCTCAATAGTAGTAACTGTGAGAGGGACCTCGGAGTCCTAGTGGACAATCACTTAAATATGAGCCAGCAGTGTGCTGCAGCTGCCAAAAAGGCCAACACAGTGCTGGGCTGCATTAACAGAGGGATAGAATCAAGATCACATGAAGTATTAATACCACTTTACAATGCCTTAATAAGGCCACACTTGGAATACTGCATCCAGTTTTGGTCACCATGATGTAAAAAAGATGTTGAGACTCTAGAAAGAGTACAGAGAAGAGCAACAAAGATGATCAGGAGACTGGAGGCCAAAGCATATAAGGAAAGGCTGCTGGAATTGGGTATGTCTAGTTTAATGAAGAGAAGGATGAGGGGGGACATGGTAGCAGTGTTCCAATATCTCAGGGGCTGCCACAAAGAAGAGGGAGTCAAGCTATTTTCCAAGGCACCTGAGGGCAGGACAAGAAGCAACGGATGGAAACTAATCAAGGAGAGAAGCAACCTAGAATTAAGGAGAAACTTCCTGATAGTTAGAACAATTAACCAGTGGAACAACCTGCCTCCAGAAGTGGTGAATGCTCCAACACTGGAAGTTTTTAAGAAGAGACTGGACAGCCATTTGTCTGAAATGTTATAGGGTTTCCTGCCTGAGCAGGGGGTTGGACTAGGTGACCTCCAAGGTCCCTTCCAACTTTATTATTATTATTATTATTATTATTATTATTATTATTATTATTATTATTATTATTATTATTATTATTATTACAACAATTTGTCTTTTGAATTGTAGCAACATTTATAACATGTTACGAAGATGTTCCATTGTAGTTAATCTGAAAAAGTGGGCTCAGCCCAAAAGATCCTATTATATAGTTCTTTATTGTGCTATTTACAGAATAAAGCGCAGTTTGTATCTGCGAGTGGACGCCGTGGAAATGAGTCTGTCTAGATGAGCCTATCCAGGACAAGACTACCATGTGGATGTCTCAACTTTTACAGTATATGTAGCAGTTTTATTGAAAATAAGGAGGCAGCCCCCAAATATAAAATCCTTCCATCTTTGATCTTTAGTAGTAGGTGCCAAGAGCAGTGATTCAATCCATTACCTTCCTGTTATAGGAGATCCATGTGGGTGCAAGCGCCCACCTTGAGGTTCTGCAGAAGGAGAGAACTGTAGCAATAATAAACCGCCTAGTTATACGATATTATTGCCTTATTTTCTAGGTGCATTTTTACAGAATGAAAGATAACCACATCCAATGGATTTATGGTGGCGTTCAATTCCCCATATCCTTCCTTCTTTTTTCCTGCTGCAGGTGTCTTGCAGTTTGTCGAAGTCACTGTCAACATCTTGGTGCTGATCTGCATAGGAGCAACCCAGGCGGGGGTCTCCGGTTTCACTTCCTTGGGAGGCCTAGGCTCTTTCAACATCAACTCAATGTATAGTCCATTTCAGGGGACCGAACTCCAAGAGGTGACCGAGGTGGACATGCAGTACAGCCAGTTGAGAGCCCCTTGTGTGTACGGAGGGGTAGCCTTCAGCCTGACAATGATGTGCCTAACGCTTCTGTTTCTCATCGGTGGAGCAAAGCCTATTCATCGCCTTTCCCTTCGACTGCTTGCTGCTGAGTGTCTCTTCGACATCCTTGCCTGCCTTGTTTATATAGCAGCAGTTGGCCTCTATCTCCACTTCGTCATTCAAGTCAATGCCACGGATGTGTGCCTAAGGAGAGAAAGACTCTACGCAAGGCGAGGTTACACTTCAGTGAATTGCAGCGTGCAAGGCGGGGATGCTGCTGTGGCTCTTTTTGGCCTGGTGGCTGCTTGCCTGTATTTTGGGAGCTTTGTGGTCTGCATTCTCACCCTTAGAGAGGTACGGCTATTTCAGAAGCAGCAGGACAATCGTTATCATCTCGAGAGAACCTACAGGGAGGACGACCATCCGAAGCCCTATAGGGGCAAAGAAAACATACACGCCGAAAGGACTTTTGGCACACTTGTGTAATCTACACCAGGTATCTCAATGAAGCCAGACTTTTAAAAAAAAGGATTTTTTTTTACCCCAAAGGATAGTTGTATATAATACAATATCAAAGATCTATTTTAAATTTTATTCTTCCTAGCTAGGAACCAAGTTCCGTAGTTAGTTCCATAACTATCTTTACAGAAAAAGGGAAGAAATTGCAGAAATTATTTCCAGGTTTGGTTTTTTTTGCCCGGATATATGTTTTTTCCACTAAGATCTCTTCTGTATCACTGTCGTAAAATCCCACCTGGAAGTGTCCCTGAAATCACCAATGAACGTAGCTTACCTTGACGATATTTATCCGTTAACGATAGTGAAATAGTTATTGCAAAGAGTGAATATGCGGAAGTTCGGTTATTTTAATTAAGTATTGATTATCCTTGTAAATGACCCAGAAATCAGTTATTAGCTTTAGATTGAGACTTAATGGTGTTGACCCATCAACTTTACTACATTCAGAAATTTCTTCTTTGTAAGTGCCTGACTGAATAGGAAAACTGGGCAATAGTTTACTATCATTTAAGTACATTGATATAGGACACCTTGCCTGCCTTTGTGCTCTTAAAGTGCCTGAGACAATCACCCCACCAGGGGGTATTATTCTTAAGAGGATTTTCAAAAGTAGAGCCAATAACAAGTTGAAACAGTGCTTGATCTTTTCTTTTACTTCCATTCTGGGAAATATTTGAGTGTCTGGACAATTTAAAATAGGAAAGACATTCTCTCCATATCTTCAGTGTCGCGTATAAACTCTTCTCTTCAACGGTGTCAGGTGACCGAAAGTCAGAAAGCCCCCAGGAAGGGGATGAGGTTTTTTCCCCAAATTAATTCATCCCAAATTAATTCAAAACCATTCTGTGTGTAGGGGGGGGGGTCACTGGTCATGGCCTTATTGCTTTTTAAATTGATAGATCAGCTTGTATAAACGGGTATAGCCATAATTTCCCAATTTCCAAGAAAGTCAGGAAAGATGAGACATTCTGGGCCCTGCCTGATGCCTGAAGCAGCTTTTTATGCTGCCTCTATAGAGCTTAAAGAGGGTTTTGATTCAGTACCTAAGGAAATGCTTTCATATTAATATTCCAGGCTAGGAACTGGGTGTTTGTGAGTTCTAGTCCCATCTTAGCCATGAAAGGCAGCTGAGTGGCCTTGGGCCAGTCTCTCTCTCTCTCTCTCAACCCACCTCACCTCACAGAGTTGTTGCTGTGGGAAAAATAAGAGGAAGAAGGCATTTTAGATGTGTTCGCCACCTTGAGCTGTTTATATATATAAAAATAAAGATATAAATTAAATAAGTCTCCTGGGGCTGCATCATCTCCACTCCTCATGCGTGCATTAAAATAGGATGCCTGTCTGAGGTTAAGCTACAATGCAGGACGTCTTTTAGAAGCCGTTCCAAGCAGGAAAATGAGCAAACACCGGTCTCATTATTCACTTTTTATGATGAGGGTATTCACCCAAAGAACATTATGTCCCCAAGTATCTCAGAAACCTACTGCAACATTACAGTTTACTGCCAAACATCAGAAACTCCTGTAAGGTCTAAGGAGCACAATGAAAGCGTTGCTTGCATCCGTAAGGCTCATGCCCCATCACGTGTGGGAGAACTAAGATTATGTACTTTGCAAACCTAGCCCTGGAGGATCGAGAGAGCAGTAAAGGGCATGCTTTAACTATTTCAGTTTTGTGTTTCAGTCTATAAGGAGGTGAAGCGCCCGTATTATTAATGCTCATTGAACAAAAGAGTCCGGATGTGGAATCCCAACTCAAATAGAGAAGAATTTCTACAGGTGCGGACCTTTCGTCACTTTGATTACAGGTTCACAATGCTGCAGGGCCTTGAGCAAGGTTAACGGAGTTTAGACTGTGCCATCAGCGGTTCTCTAGGGTAGAGTCAGAAAAATCGTATTTATAAAAAGAACCTTGCCCTCATTTTGTGGGAGCTTTTAAGTCTTTGGTTCATCTTCTGCTTTACTGGGGCTTCTAGAGAGCTTTCTGTAATGTTCGCTTGGTTCTTGTCCCTAGCTGTCTCCCAGGAAGCTAGATGAGTGCTAAAACAAAGCTTGTCATAGCAAAATTCTTACGAATTACATGGATGATTTAATCCCTATTAAAAACAAACCAAGCTACTGTAGTGCTGATATAAACCGCTATGTTCAACGTAATGTGGGTGGCAGATCATCTTACTATCAGTTATCTCTATGTTAACAGTTGGGTAATAGCAACACGCTACACATGGGGCTACCTTTGAAGAGTATTTGCAGGCTACAACTGCTGTAGAATGCAGTGGGCATAGACAGTTCTGGAGGCCCCAGGATGTCACACGTAACACCGCTTTGCATGAGCTGCAGTGGCTGCCGGTTTGCTTCCGGGTCCAATTCAAGGTGTTAGTTATTAAAGCCCCTCATGACATGGGCTCAGAGTATTTGAGGAACATCTCTCCCCATTGGGATCAGCCCACCCTGCGCGCTCTAGCAGACGGGGCTTACTGTCAGTCAGGGAATTTTGGCTGGCAGAGTCTAGGAGAAGAGCCTTTTCTTTCTTTTCTTTTTTTTTTATTGAAAATTTTATAAAATTTTACAATATAAATCCCACTCTTCCCCAACCCACCCTTCCACTCCCCCCTCCCTCCCCCCACTTCCCAGTGCCAATCACAGGGTTAACAATAAAATAATCATACTCTAACATTAATCAACTATTAAAATAACATATCTATAACCTCCTTTAACTCTCTTTTAAACAAATATACAGTTATTAAAAACAATAATAATGACATCACTTTAATAATTAAAAATAGTACTAAATAAACTCTAACCTTTATACAACAATAATACTCTAAAATTCACTCGAAAACCAAATGATATTTTTTGGTCCCATATTTACGCTCAATATAATCTATCCATCTTCTCCAAACCAAAATATATCTTTCTTGTGAATAATCCTTCACATAAGCGGAAATCTTGGCCATTTCTACTAAGTTCGAGACTTTAAGTGACCATTCTTCTATAGTGGGTAAACGTTCCGTTTTCCAATATTGAGCTACTAGTAGTCTTGCAGCAGTTATAAAGTTCAACATCAATTCCATTTCTTTTGCATCCAAGTCTTCCATAATACCAAGAGAAGAGCCTTTTCCATTGGGGCCCCTGCCCATTGGAACATTCTGCCACCAGAATCGAGATCTGTACCCGCCCTTCTGGCCTTCCAAAGAGCCTTAAAACTTGGCATTGTCCAATGGGCTCTATGCCGGAGATTATTGACAGGATAAGAGAGAAGACCCTCACTCCATCCTCTTGGTTTTCAGTCTCTAGTTCTTCTTAACTGTTTTTATATTGAACTTTTTATCATTCTGTAAGCTGCCCAGATTCACTCCAATAGTGATATCGGGAGCATATAAATTTAATAAATGAAATTAAAAAACAGTTATCTGTTTTTACTACTGTGTTTTATTATCTTACTATTAATGATTGCAGCGAGAACCACTTTGGTGCAGGGGTTAAGACGCCAAGCCTGAAACCTGGGAGAACTGAGTTCTAGTTCTATCTTAGGCACAAAGTCATCTGGTTTATCTTGGGCCAGTCATTCTTTTGCAGCCCTAGGAAGAAGGCAATAGCAATTTGCTTCTGAAAACATTGCCAAAAAAACTATAGGGACTTGCTTAGGGAATTGCTAGAGGTCAACTCAAAGTCAGTTTTTTTTAAAAAAGGCAATTGCAAATAGAAGTCTCTGTTTTGAAATTCTCATTGCACCTGACCATGCATTCAATTTCCAGCTGGGGCTGTGGAAATTTGCAATTCAACTGAACAATCATTACTTCACGTTTGGCCCAGCAGGATTTATTATTGTGCAAAATATTTCAACTTTTGAAAAGTTTCAGAATGAAAAAATTATAGTTGTAACATTAGTGGACTGTTTTGTTTTTGTTTTTCAAAATTTAAGTATATTATAAAATACAAATAGAAAAGAAAGGACAAACAGAAAAAGGAAAAAGTGCAGCGATATAGAAAGAAAGAAAAAAGCAGTGACTTCCAACTTAATTTTCAGTGCAGTAGAATACAAAAAGAAGTTACAACCTCAACTTTTTGCTTTGCATTTCTATTAAAGCAGATGGTACAGGTAGCGCTTCACAACCACAATTAGGTCCAGAATCTCTAAGCCATGGTTGTTAAATTGAGTTGTGGCCAGGTTTACAACCTTTTTGGCCACGGTCATTAAGCAAATCACTAAATAAATGTGGTTGTTCAGCGAATATGAGTTCGCCCATTGACTGCTTTTTTAGAAGATCCCTGGGAAGGTTGCAAATGGCAATCAGATGACCCCAGGACACCGCAACCATTGTAAGTACGTGCCGATTGCCAAGTGCCTGAGTTGTGATCATGTGACCACAGGAATGCTGCGGCAGTGGTAAGTGCAAGGACCGGTTGTAAGTCACTTTAACCAGCTCTTTTGCAATTTTGAAACAGTTGTCAAACAAATGGTCATCAGTCAAAGACTGCCTGTGCTGGGGAGGCTCTTAATAGAGATGGATTCCCATCCACTCTGGGCTCTTCCCTTAGCACGGGATGGAGATCAGACTGGCCATTCCTTGTGGAAGAATAGAAGAATAGAATAGAATAGAATAGAATAGAATAGAATAGAATAGAATAGAATAGAATAGAATAAGAATAGAAATACGAATAGAATAAGAATAGAAATACGAATAGAATAGAATAAGAATAGAATTAGAAATAGAAATAGAATAGAATAGAATAAGAATAGAATTAGAAATAGAAATAGAATAGAATAGAATCTGGAAGGGACCTTGGAGGTCTTCTAGTCCAACCCCCTGCTCAAGCAGGAGGACCTGTATCATCTCAGGTGATTGTCCGGTCTCTTTTTCTTCCATCCATTGTTTCTCGTCCTTCCCTCTGGTGCTCTAGTGAACAACCTGACTCCCTCTTCTTTGTGATAGCCCCTCAGCTACTGGAATACAGAAACTACCTGGGAGGAACGGTCCCATCACTGTCTTGCTTTCTTCCTCAAAAACATTTTAAACCATCCATCAGAATCCGTTTTGGCTGCCTCCAAGGGTTGTGGCTGTTTAGTCCCAATCTTCCTGGGCAGGCAGTAGGAATTTTCCTTAGGGAATGGGAACGTTGCATGGCAGAGTGGCTCCGGGCTGAGTCCTCTCCAATTCTGTTCATCGTTCATATGACGCTCCGGGGGAGGTCATCTGTCAGTTTGTGTAGCGATATTGTCAATCTAAAATAAAACTCTACCTGCTATTACAAGGCCACAAGCTACGGCATTTGGTGAAGCGTTTGACATCCTTGTTCTCTTGTCATACAAAAAGCAGATTCATAGTGACTCATTCCTAGATCAAGCTGATTCTGTTTAGCACATTGTTATAACAAAAAAAGGAAAAAAAACCATAGATTTATTGCTTTCCTCTGTGTGAATAGTTTCCACGCAATATGTAACATGTTTGGATTATAATTTCCGAGAAAATCTCAGCTTTAAATCTTTTAAAATTGATTTTTCCTTCTCTTCCCTCCTTGGCATTGTTAAAACATAATCCTTTAAGTCCTATATGGATTCCTGCTCAATTTCTCTCTCTTTATCTCCCAGTATTTTACATTTTTTTTCCTTTTATCTTCCTTTTCCCTTGTCTCCTCCTTCTTCCTCAGTTGTCTTTCTCCTTTTGTATTCTATCCAATCCAACAGAATAAAGGAGTCCCTGCGGATTTTGCTCCACTACTCATTGCTGACTCTAGGGGGCAGTGCTCATCTCTATTTCAAGGCCATTGAGCCACTGCTGTCCGAAGACATTTCGGCAGTCATGGGGCCAGCATGATGTCACCGAACCCTGTTAGCATCCAACAGAATACTAGAATGAAACTATGTAAAGGAGCTTGGCCATTGTCTACCCTCAGGAGGACAAAAATTGGTCAATATATAAGATGTATACTGAAATGGAAGTAAATTAGAAGGCCACCCAATAATTGGAATTACCTGCTAGGGAACTTACCATATTTTACTCAGAATCCTATGGAATGCAAAAGAAGTGCTTGCAATTTGGTGTAGTGATTATGATGTTGGAGTAGGGAAGCCTTGGTTCCCTCCCTCTCCCATGGCCAGGAAAGAACAGTGATCTACACTTAGTCCAGTGGGAGTTTCCAGTTACCTTTGTTAAGCAAGGACTTCACATAATCACAAATTTGATTTCCTGTCAGCTTCCCCATTGACTTTACTTATGGGAAGCCAGCAGAGGAGGTTCCAAATCAGGATCACACGACTGGGGTGTGTGTGTGCAGTTTGAACTTCAAGGACCAATTCTAATTAGTATTCAGTGCCATCACAAATTTGAACAGTCAATGAATAAGTGGTTGTTAAATGACCACCGGTACCTATTTAAAATATTTGATTGATATGATCCCTCTCCATCTATGGATTCACTTCATAGTGATGTAAAGGAAAATGGGCTAGTATCTATGTGGTTATTGTTTATAAATCAAGTTATTTTTATATGCGCATGTTCTATGTATCCTGCTCTACATACTACCGGTATGCCTTATATTCTATAAACTTTCTTCTATATTTTTGTGTTTATTCTTTTTTACTTATTTTCTGTATACTAACAGCAATAACAAAGTTAAGAAGAAATCACAGTGCTTGAGTACAAATAAGGTACAATGACATGAAATTTTAGTGTGGGGTTGCAGTTTAGGGGTTCTGAATGTAAGAATGAAATTAAAATTCCAGGATCAGGAAAATGACTTCTAAAAATATTCTCCACTGCCAAAGCAAGCCAAAATAGTATTTCTCAAAAAATTAACATTGTTTTTTCTAATAGATAATGGGGTTTGTTTTGTGTTACATTACTCCCATTGACCATTCAATTCAACTAACTAGAATCTTCCTCCATACCACAGAAAACTAGTATCACTTTTAGTCTTTTACAACATACCTTGATCCCTCCCTGCCCAAGCCCATTTCTAGGCTTGTTCCATTATGTCATGTGTATCTCATATGATAGTTGGGAACAAAGTAAAACTGGAGGTTGAGCCCAAATTTGGAAAAAAAAAAGTCCACTTTCATTCAATCCTTCCCATGTAACTAAATGTCCTTTCCACAATTTGACTTTGTGTTATACTCAGTTTTTATTCCAAAAAGCTCAAGGCTCCTGACCTGTTTATTCTCAGAACTTATATATGTTAGCAGAGGTTGGATGCTACCAACTGGCCCAAGATCATTTAATGAGATTCATGGCTCCGTGCAGCTTTGAACTCAAATCTTTCACCATCTATTCTTGTACTTCCAGTGTGTTGGCAATATGGCAATTTCCACAATTTCTTCTTGACAGCGAAATACAATCTTCTACACTCTTGAAATAAGACAGGCGAGAGTATCTTTCCTTCATTCTAACATGAGAATTCTTTAATATTGAGGACAGGGTAATGTTAGTTCACTTTATCAACTATTGCAATAAAAAAATATGAGAACTTGGAACTTTTCACTGTCGAGCCTGCAGAGTATATACAATGCATATGTGTATTTGTACAGACATACCAGAAGCCCGCAAATATTTGTAAATTTTTATATTTATTATAACAAAAATTATGACATGTTCATTTGTGCATTCTTCTTTAATATAACTCTTGGTATGTAAATGATCTACAGTAAATGAACTCTATACAATCATGCTGGTTGTTGTGACAGCAGGGAAGAACACACAAAAATGTGCCAAAAAAGTTAATGGTGAAGACTGAGGAAAAAATTAACACAAGGACCTGTAGCCCCACTGAAGTCTACACAGCTTGTTACAGCTGCTCCTGCTAATTTTGTATGGATCAGAATCCAAAAATGTCATCACTTGTGGGCAACTTCATATGAAAACGCAGTCTCCCCCCCCCCCCCGGTGACTTGGGCCCAGCCAAATCAAATGGCAACCGGACATGGTGGTATAGACACAGTAGGTCATCAAGGCCTCACGTATTTCGTCACTTCACCCACTGAGAGGGCAATAAGTTGACAGGATTTTCCTACCCTCCCAATTTGGTAGCATCGATGGTAGCTTTGACATACATGCGAAAGCTCCCGGGTGTAAATGGAAACGGGGGGGGGGGGGGGGCAATGTCAGTTTACTAGGTTGTGCCCTCCTGCCAGGTCTACAAAAAAACAAACATGTGAAGCATCGCTATACAACACTGAGTTATTTACAGGAATTTCCCAATCAGCTGTTCTCTCAGAGAAAATTAGTGAGTCTCAGTGACTTAAAGTCACCTGAAAGAGTAAAAGCGCAACTCCTAGGAGTTAGTCTCCATAATTCTACAAATGTCTATCCATTTTCAAGACCAAAAAAGCCTTTTTTTTTCTCTCAAAGAAATACAGTATTACAATATTACTTAATCATTGAGCACTGGCAACACTGCCCTGTTTTCCAAACAGACAGAGGAAAAAAAAAAAAGAACAATTTTAAAAAATATTACATCAACATCGTCATCAGTTTCTTTGTAATATATTAAACCTTTTGCATTTTAATTTTTCTCCACTTTTTTTTTTTACACATCTGATATGTTAAGGAAGGGGAAGAGTTAAACTAGATTAATTTCTAACCAGTGAAGCATCACTAGAAAAGGAGGGAGGAAATAAGGTTGGTGATCATTACAGCTAACAAACAAGAAGCAGCTGCACTTCTCAGTTAAAGGGAAGGATCTGGAAGAGAAAGTGGGAAAAATAAGCTTTCCTCCTTCCTCACCTCATTAGTGTAATACAAACCTAAGGAGCTTCCAGCTCTTAATGTCTTGTTAGCTTGTTTCCCAAAGCACCGTCATAGTGGTGTGTCGTAATAATCGGGCAGTTGGTCCAGCTGATATTGACGTTGCTGCTGCTGCTGTTGCTGCTGCTGTTGTTGTTGCTGCTGCTGCTGCTGCTGTTGTTGTTGTTGCTGCTGCTGCTGCTGCTGCTGTTGCTGCTGCTCATGATGTTGCTTCATTATCTCCTTCACCTCTTCCTCAAGCTCTGGTGGGATGATGAACTGATCATCTGGATCTGGCTGAGCTGGAGCGGCAAAATAGCCCCCCGTCTTCCTGAGTGGCGCATCGGCTGCTACTTCAATTAGGTTGTGGCTCCTCTCCTGAGGAGCCACTGAGCCATTGCCGCGGCGGCGCCCAATAGTGCCAGTGGCAGAAGAGTCGGCCTTTCGAAGGAGGCAGGCGTCTTCTTCATTCGCCCCGATGACGATGCCCTCGTCGCTGACTTCCACCGGGGCCTGCAGCAGCAACTGCTTCTCCTTGGACCGACCACAATGGATGTCCACTTCCACTTCAACTCTGCTGCCATTGGAAAAGACCCCTTCGATTGGCTCCTCGTCATCGCTGTCAAGGCCATTGTCTGAAAAGGCGCTGGAAAATGTAGCGCTGGACAGCTGCCTTTGGAAGGAGTTGGAGAGGCAAACTGGGTGGAGCATACAGCGCTGTTCATTAGGGTAAGCGGGGCTGTTTTCGTTCATAGTTACCTGAGGTGGCTCATCAGAGGCCGTGGATCCAACCTCGCTGCTCATTTCAGAAGTGGAGATCTCGCTGCTGATCTCAGAGGCCATGCCACTGCTTGATGAAGGCATCCCCAAAGCATCAGAAGGCTTATCTTTGATTATTACATTGACGGACTGGGGGAAGCTGCCCGGGCTGGGAGGGACCCCATTTAACTCACAGCAGCAGAAGCTATCCTCAGTTACATTGAGCTGAACCACCACAGCACTGAGGCTATCGTTGCAGCCATAGCTCTGAGCCAACGTGCAAAGTTTCTTGGCAGCTCCAAGGGCATCCGGCACGTTCCTGACAGCCTCCACAGCTTCGTCGATGGAGAGACTGTCCCACAGGCCTTTGCTGCCCAGAATGAAGAATTCGTCCTGAGGAGTCAAAGTAATGGACTGCACGTGGGGGCGTGGAACAACACTTGGGTGAAGGAAAGTATATCCCAAAATCCTTGTTGAGTCTGTTACACCATTCACTTTGCCATCCTAGAACAAAGGGACAAAAAAAAAATGTTAATTGTTTAATGTTGTTTTAAGCTCTTACTTGGTGGAGAGGAGGGATAAGGTTTGAGTAAAGAGTTGGATTTAGAATCAATCCAAGCTGCTGGTACCACTGGCTAGTGTGGGTCATCATTCTGGTCCACTGACAACTTATCCAAGAGAAATACAAAATTTGCAACCTATATAAATAAAAATGTAAATGTTCGTTTGTTCAAAATCTTAAATCTCCGAAAGTTCTTCACCGATTGCTTTGAAATTTTGACACAACGTTGCATTCGAATACGCGCGTGTTTTTATATACCTATATTATATAGATGTCACACCTGTGACAGGTAAAAACATGCTTTTTTTGAAAAACAGCGCCATCTGTTGGACGTAAAAACACACGCTAACCAGACTGAGCCACAGCAACGCGTGGCCGGGTACAGCTAGTGTCTAATAACTTTAAAATGGATGTCTAATAGAATGTCTAATAACTTTAAAAGAGGCAGAGAGGGGCTCTTTGACTTCAGAATAGAGCATCAATGTCAGTCTAACAGCAGGAAGTGATTTTTGTTAGAAGTAAAGGGGGAGGGGAACCTTATCATATCTCCCTTCCTGACACTTTGAGATGTGATGTTGAATTCCTATTACTAATAGCAATAGAGAAGATATAGGTCTGCAGCGTGACTGATATTGAGCAGGTTAAAATAAAAGGCTTTTCTGCACTACTTTCTCTTTGCAGATCTTTCACATTTGAAGTATGCAAAACCTTTCAAATTCAAAACATTCTGACCTCAAAAGCCTGTTTTGAGCTCAGCTTTTCCTGATGTCCAACTTTGGCAAATTTAGGACTTGTGAACTTTAACTCCCAGAATTCTCCGGCCAACCATCTTGTGGAGCTGAAGTCCAGAAGTCTTAAAAGTTGCCAAGGTTGGACACTGCTGTTCTACATGAATTGCTCCAACTTTACCAAAAGTGTTCCAATGTTCAGTTTGTCTGGAAATGTTCTGAGCATACACAAGACCTTACCTGAACTTCAAATGTTTTTTATTTTGAAATGTATTATACACTTCTACTTGTTACGGCTTGTGGGAAAACAGCAATCCACAACGGGCCAACTGACCAGTTTAACAACCACTGTTCTTTGAAAAATTATTTGCCACTTCTGCATTCTTGGAATTTTTGCACCTCTTTGTCATTGAATATTATCATTTCTTCTGAATTCTATAGATATATACCACCTAGAGCAGGGGTAGGCAACCTAGGCTCTTTTATGACTCGTGGACTTCAACTCCCAGAATTCCTGAGCCAGCATGCCTACCCCTGACCTAGAGTGTGTTGAGACTGAGAAGGTAGATCGCTCAACCAATCGAATGCAATGCTTGGTTTCTGTGAAACATAACACCAGTCATTTAACCACTGAGTTCCACATATTTCTGTAAAATATCCCAACGGAGGTCTGGGTGGTTTGTGGCAAACTAGAAATGAGCATCAATGTTCTGGTATTTGCCTTGCTACTTTCACACAAATTCCACTTTGCCTGATACTTTTCTAAACACTCTAGCCATGGCTAGAGAAGCAAGCAGATTCCTGAATGTTGTTCTGAAGTTCTCTGTGACTTCCTGGACAATTTTATGCTGCGAGCTTGGCATGATTTTTTTTTTCAGGATTGCCACTCTTGGTAAGATTTGCTATTGCCCTAAATCATCTCCATCTCATGAATATGACACTGACTGTGTGGATTGGTGCTGGGGCTTTACAAGTGGTGGTGTAAAAGGAAGCCTTCAGAAATGTCTTTTTAAGGGGCACAACACATCTCTGGAATCTACATACGAAGAACTTCATGGTGATGAAGGAAGTCAAAGTTTATACAGCGCATACTTCAATTTTTATTGTTTACTGAAGTACTCACATAACTGGCCCTAGCTATCCCTTTAACTGGATGGATTTTAGACTCTGGCACCCCACCTGTTGATTTGATTTTGATTTGATTTTGATTTTATTAAATTTATACCCCGCCCTTCTCCCGGAGGACTCAGGGCGGCTTACAGCCAGTTTAAAACAATAGTACAGTACAATACAAAATTTAAAAAATTTAAAAATAACTATTCAGATTTGGCTGCTCCTACTAAAAATTTAATTTAAAACCCCTTTAAAATACCCCTAGGCCAGTCCTGCCTGCTGAAATAACCAGGTCTTAAGGATGGCATCATTAATGATAGAGATATCACAGGGTGATTTCTTTATTCTGAAGAAATCCCTTTCTATGTTAGTAGGAAGCCCTACGTGATGATGAAGCTCTGGTAACATTCAGTGGCAAAAGAGATGCAAAAGAAACACAAAACGTAAAAGTGGGTGAGTATTTTTTTCACAGAGAAAAAATGGCAATGCCAGCTGCATGAAATAAAGCAGCAGACCTGCTTACCTAAGCAGGAATTAAGGACCCTACAGGTGGTGTCGACTTAACAACCGTAACTGAACCCACATTGAACCCAAAATTTCTGTGGCTAAGCAAGGCAGTGGTTAAGTGAGTTTTGCCACATTTTATAACCTCTCTTGCCCTAGTTGTTAAGTGAATCACTGCAGTTGTTAAATTAGTAACACCGTGGTTAAGTGAATCTGGCTTCTCCATCGATTTTGCTTTGAAAAGGTGATCACATGACCTCCAAACGTCATAAAATGAAGTGTGCCGAGAGTGTGAATTTTGATCACGTGGGCATGGTGATGCTGCAATGGTGCTAAGAGTGAAAAGTGTTCATAAGACACCCTTTTCAGTCTGTTGTAACTTCCAACGGTCACTAAAGGAATTGTTGTAAGTCAGGGACTACCTGCACTCAGCACCACGTAATTCTTAACATACCATCCCTGTACATGCAGTACATGCACTATGCAGTACTATGCACTGTATAGTGTTAAATGAAGACAAAATTAACAGGTTGTGGGTTTCTTTTCTACAGCCCTACCATACCAAAGTCATATTTCTAGACTTAAAAAATGCAGATTTACCGTAATCATATAGGTTGGAAAAGGAAATGAATTATGCCTGTACTCTTGTTTGTTTTCAGGAAATTGCTCTGCAGAAAAACTGTTTTCACATGCCCCAATTACATTTCTTTTTCAGATACGTTATACTTCCCCTCAGGGAAAAAAAGATTAATATCAGAAAGGAAAAACATTGTTATTTTTTTTTAAAAAAAATTATAAGTAGTACTTGTATTCTTAAGTTCTGGTTTGGTTTGACTTGAAAGAAAATCGGGGAATTTTTAACATCCTGTATTCATTTAAAGCCTGGATTAAACATGAAAAGGAAGTAGGAATGAGGAAAGTAAAACTGAAGGAAACATCTTGTATTTCATACCTTTACATGCTTTAATTTTAAAAATGTTATAAGGGGTAGAAATGTGCAAAATGAAGAAAGTAACTTTGGTTTGGGCAGGATACCTCTGATATTAATATTATGGGCATTGTAGTTACATAACAATATTTTAGGAAACGTTGCCTTATAGTTCTTTTAGGATGGCCTCCCAATGATCTTGGTTTTTCTTCAAACTCTGGGATAGTTTGATGGTAAAGCTATTTGATGCATGTTTCATGAGGGATTAACATATATTTTCTCTCTTATGTGAGGTTTCTTCTCTGTTCAATTTTGTCCATTTTTTAAAAGACATTATATTGGTTTTTCGGTATATGTTGTCCAGAGTCACTTTTGAATTGAAGTGTCCTTATAAATCTAAATTATATATATCTACCTGCATACATGCATTTATAAAATATAGTATGGTATGGTATGGTAGGGTAGGGTAGGGTAGGGTAGGGTAGGGTAGGGTAGGGTAGAGTAGAATAGAATAGAATAGAATAGAATAGAATAGAATAGAATAGAATAGAATAGAATAGAATAGGTTTATTGGCCAAGTGTGATTGGACACACAAGGAATTTGTCTACGGTGCATAAACTCTCAGTGTACTTACAAACAACAAAGTGATAGATCATAGATCATAAATCATATTTACAATCATTAATCGTAAGAATGTGGGCAAGAAATCAGAAGGAAATTCTGCCTTATCGGCAGGGTTCGGAAACAGATTTGTAAAGAACCACCTGTATTTTATTACCCTAATCCCTCCCTCCGTCACCCTCACCGGAGCTGATAACCCAATGTCTTACTTCTGTAATAATGGCCTTGTGCTGCTTGATCCTCCTTAGCTCTTCCTCGCAGCTCATCATGTAAGACCTAGACAAAGGCAGAGGCTTCCCGTTCCTGCAGAGAACGGATTGGCACTTTCCCACATTTGCTGAGGTTAATGTGAAGCATCCACCTGGATCTAATGGGTCATGTTTGATGTGGCAAAGGACAGCGGAGCCTCCAAGTTTCTGCCCAGCAGTCCCAAGCTTCCTGGAATTTCATGAAAACAACACAAAGAGGTTAAATAGGAAGAAGCAATGATCATGCATATAGAATTAAGGCCAACACACACACACACACACACACACTTATTTTCAAGATTCAGCAGAAAAAGTGAGGAATTCATATCCAGAAAGCAATTACGACATCTACAACCAGAAATTTGATGCACTCCATTAGAGCTGCTGACAGAAAATTTAAAACAGTTCATGGTTTAGTGCTCAGCCAGATGGTAGCAGTAGTTAACCTTGGCTGATTTTCAAAAGCTAAGCAGTGCTGGGCCTTGTTAGTAACCAGATGGGAGACAACCAGGACATTCTAGGGCTGTAGGCCCAACTGGAAAGTTGTTGTTTTTTTTTAAATTCCAGAACAGGGATATATTCTTGCCAATATGTTTATGAAGTCACTAGATGTTGACATTCTACCTGAAGATTATTTTTTACAGTTTATTGGTACAGTCTGCGTGGCTCCTTGATTAGTTTCCTGACCGTTCCAGTTAAATAACTACATTAGTAAGAAATAAAAAAAACCTTCATCAGAACTCTCAGAGGGCCAAAGCCATTCTGGTGTCTTCCAGCTAGGAGAATCACAGAACAGAAGCAACAACACTGTGCCATGTATGTAAACAGGCCAATTCAATACCAGGTATCTTCCAACGTTCCTAAGGTTCTACTCAAAGCGAATTCCCCTCAGAAAAAAATGGAAAACCTGACATTCCAACAGCTCAAGAATAGGGGTGCCCAAAACGTACTGAATTGAGATAGTTTTGATATTTACAATTCTGTTTGAGTGCAAAACAGCCACTTCAAATTATTCTGGAAAAAGTTTTAGCCTTGAAACAGCTCAACTTCACATTTGGAACTAGAGTGTTCCAAATTTGAAACAGTTCAAATTTCTAATGTTTTGCATGTCCCTCCTCCAGAACTTTTTTGTATCCAGCATGGCTGGCTCAGGAATTAATTCAGGGAGTTGAAGTCCACGAGTCATAAAAGAGCCAAGGTTGTCTACCCCTGGTATAGGCAAACTATTAGAAAAGAAAAATAAGAATGGCATTCCCTTTTCAAAGCAACTGGATCAGATAAACATGACTGCAAGGGATTACAGAAAACTCTCATGAAATCCCAATTTAAGTCTAAACTCACATATTATTTACATCCACCCAACTGTACATTTCTCCAAAACGGGCTGTTTCCAGATCACCGCAGAACTGTCAAGCCTATATAAATAATGCATAAAAATCCATCTATCTTCTTCCAAAAGCCATATCTGGCTATAATTTAAACAATTTGCTTTTGATTATTCAGTCTGGAGTAATAGTTGGAATGAGCTGCTACACAGTTACGTGTCTATAAATAAAATTAATCACATTCAGTGTATCTTTATACAGACAGGCTTGTTCTCTTCTTTTTTTAAAGGAGGTATACAAGAAGAAATATATGGTTTTTATTTTTTTATAACATTTTAAAAGGGTTGCATGTGAGACTTTAGGTAATTTAATGGAAGAAGAGGGCTGTGACAAATAGCAATTGAACGTGTGTATGAAAAGCACCAGAGGCAGGTCATTTTTGTGCAAAGGAAACAGAAGATAGAAATGGCAGGAATCTAGCAATGAAGTCATTACTGTTTCTAACAAAATGGTCCCTAGCTTGTGTCCAGTTTACTTTTGGAATTAAGCTCAGCTTAATATATTATGAACCTTCCCCAATTATAGTCAAAGGTTAAATGTAAAAACGTGATTTCAAGGGGAATACAGCGTTGATTCATTGATCTGGAGATTCTCCCCAATTTTGCTGAAGTGTAAGCAGAAATCTTTTAGCAGTAGCAATCAAATCTCTTAGCTATCACCTATTATTGCCTTTGATACATGGGAAATGTTGAGCGTATCTCCTAAGCAGCCAGTTTTCAAGCTCTTTCTGTTAACAGTAATGTGAGAATTAAGCTAAATGCTACAATATTCTTCTTCAAATATCAACAACCTTAAGTAAAGGTAAAAGTTTTCCCTGCCCAGTTGTGTCAAACTCTAGGGGGCGGTGCTCATCTCCGTTTCTTAGCTGAGGGAGCCAGCATTGTCTGAGGATGATTCTGTGGTCATGTGGCCAGCATGACTTTACGAGGCACACGAACGCTGTTACTGTCCCATTGAAGTGGTACCTATTTATCTACTGGCATTTGCATATTTTCAAACTGCTAGGTGGGGCAAGTCATGGGAACTCATCCCGTCACGCGGCACTTGGGTCTCGAACCTGGGCTGTCTCCTCCTCTCAGCTGACAAGCTCAGCATGTTTAACCGCTGAGCCACTGCACCGTCTGCAGGTATAAAAGATTTAACATCAAGGCACTGCGATCATTTCAACTGTGTGGCAGAGAGAGCAACGGATAAGAGGTTAATCCAGTCAGATAAGTAATTTTCTTGAAAGCCTTTTCTGTTTAATGACAGAAGGCCTGAAGAAAGTCCCAGGATCCAGTCTGTGTTCTCTGCTGAAGGAATAATACATTCACTGGTAAAGATTTTTCCTGAAAGCTGCAGTCAGGCAGAATAGACAATTCTAGGCTGTATGTCAATGGTCTGAGTCCCTAGTAAGCCATTTTCAACACTCATAGCTGACATGGTATGTAAGAATGTCAGTTCTTGTCTCATGTGAAAACTCAAGATGCTAGCAGGATCTCTGTATGCACATGATGCTGTGCCAATCCAAATCGGACTCTCGAGAGGAACAAGTGAAAAGGGTGAAGAAGAAATGGGACACGTTCAGGATTGGGAAAAATACATCCTTGCTTATCTTTACAAACATCAGCTTTGCAAATACAAACTGACCTCTGCATTACAATGAAAGTGTTGATCATGTACTCCTCTTCATTCTTGGTTTTCTGCAGCTCTTCTGCCAAGATATCACTCATGGTACATTGTAGAAGGTAGGGTATTTCCACGTTGCGATCCCCATCAAAGACTCCATAGAGGGCCTCCCTGTTCTCACAGAAGTTATTGGCGGAAAGAGCTGCCACACATAGCCTGCCGGGAAAGTAAATAAATAAATAAGTAAATAAATAAATAAATAAATAACAGTGCTAGGCTGCATTAACAGAGGAATAGAATCAAGATCACGTGAAGTATTAATACCACTTTGCAATGCCTTAGTAAGGCCACACTTGGAATACTGCATCCAGTTTTGGTCACCACGATGTAAAAAAGATGTTGAGACTCTAGAAAAAGTACAGAGAAGAGCAACAAAGATGATTAGGGGATTGGAGGCTAAAACATATAAGGAACGGTTGCTGGAATTGGGTATGTCTAGTTTAACGAAGAAAAGGACAAGGGGGGACATGATAGCAGTGTTCCAGTATCTCAGGGGCTGCCACAAAGAAGAGGGAGTCAAACTATTTTCCAAATTGCCTGAAGGCAGGACAAGGAGCAACGGGTGGAAACTAACCAAAGAGAGAAGCAACCTAGAACTAAGGAGAAACTTCCTGACAGTTAGAACAATTAACCAGTGGAACAACCTGCCTCCAGAAGTGGTGAATGCACCAACACTGGAAGTTTTTAAGAAGAAACTCGACAGCCATTTGTCCAAAATGGTATAGGGTTTCCTGCCTGAGCAGGGGGTTGGACTAGATGACCTCCAAGGTCCCTTCCAACTTTATCATCATCATCATCATCATCATCATTATTATTATTATTATTATTATTATTATTATTATTATTATTATTATTATTATTATTATTATTATTATTATTATTATTATTATTATTATTAAATAAAGGCATGGAACAATCCAACCCAGCTTACCATGAGGGCGAGTGGCAGGGCAATTTTCAACAAAGCGATCTCCATCGCCGTGCCATCAGGTTTCACCCCTACATTTTCTAGCTATTAACAGCTTTCACGTTTCTTGCAGTTCATTTGAAAAGAAAGATCTTCATCCGAAAAAGGATGGAGAATGTAGGGCTTTGTTGAAAAATCTGAATCCATCTAAAGAATTCTACAGTAGAAAGCAAAATAGCGTATCTCCTATTCTCTCACCAAGCTAATTATACGTGTAATCAATCTACTGGCCTTTTTGCCACGCAGTACTTTGTTGCAGAACAACTAACAATTCCTTTGGGCATGACACAGAAAAAGCATTGGGCGTTAATATCAAGAATACGTAATATATAAAAAGAACACCACCGTCTCATTTTTTACTTATGCAAACTCTACAAACAATAAAGGACAAGACACATTTTTCCTAGATGTGCTTCCACTGGAATAGAGTTATAGATTGTTAACTCAGTTATTTTTTCATTCAGCAAATTATCTGACATAAAGCAATAAATGGAAGAGACAGAAAAACATTTTAGCTTAAATAGCATTCATCCTCTAGACCTGTGTACAAGGACTGTTGCTGTTCACTGTGACTACTCTTTGGCCTTTTTGGCAACCATCACCACCTCTTTAAATTGTATTCCTGATTATTATTATACTAGCTGTACCCGGCCACGCATTGCTGTGGCTCAGTCTGGTAAAAGCGTGTGTTGCTTTTACGTCCAACAGATGGAGCTGTTTTTCAAAAAAGCATGTTTTTACCTGTCACAGGTGTGACATCTATATCAGTGGTTCTCAACCTTTTTAATGCCGTGACCCCAACCGGTCGTAAGTCGAGGACTAAACCGGTCGTAAGTCGAGGACTAAACCGGTCATAAGTCGAGGACTAAACCGGTCGTAAGTCGAGGACTACCCAACCGGTCGTAAGTCGAGGACTTTCCCTGCCCGGGAGCGCCACGCATGCGCCCCCTGCGCCAGCCGAGGCGTAGCTGGCAAGCGGCAGAGACAGAGCAGGCTGACCACCAGCTGGCCCAGCCCAAGGGAGGTAAGGCACCCGCCGGAAAAGGGGAAAAAAATGGCGGACAAAAAAAATGGCGGACAGCCTTGCTTGGCGACCCCCGTGAAATGGTCGATCGACCCCAAATGGGGTCCCGACCCACAGGTTGAGAACCACTGATCTATATAATATAGGTATATAAAAACACGCGCGTATTCGAATGCAACGTTGTGTCAAAATTTCAAAGCAATCGGTGAAGAACTTTTGGAGATTTAAGATTTTGAACAAACGAACATTTACATTTTTATTTATATAGATATAGATTTGTCTCTTGCCTTTACTTAAAACAGGCATGTCAAACTGCCGGCCCACAGGCCGGATGCGTCATGCCGAACCCACACTCACCCCATTGCCGGCAATGGGGAAAAAGTCCCGATACGTCGCGCGAAGTCACGAGTTTGACATGCTTGCCTTAAGGCATTCAAGGCAGCACATAGGGAGAGCCCTCCTCGTTTCATTCTCACATCTTGGGGTAGTGAAATATTGACTAGTTCAAAGTCATGTTGCGATGTCCATGTGAATTGTGTTTGTCAAATGCAGAATTCAGTTCAGAATCTTGGAGTTGTTGTTTTAAAAGAAAAAAAAAATGGCAAATTTCAGCCTATTGCCTATTCTTGCCAGAGGTTAAGGCCTAAATGTATTCTTTTACTCACTGCCACTTCTGATGACTACAAAACTCAGAATTATGCAGTAAGGAACAAAAAGACAAAGAATTCCATTTTTAAAAAATGAACACAACATTTAACTTTTTATCATAGCCACATGGCTGTACTAATTTTTTCCCCCTAATCATTCACTCTTAACATCACTGGGTGTATATTGTATGGACATGCTTTCATTTTCAAACTCCTCCTTGTTAATTTGGGTTTGTTTGTTTGTTTGTTTGCTTCATGTCATTAGCTTTCCTTTTGTACCAGAGAAAAAAAGTCTCACAATAGTTCTTTGGAGGATAAGCAGAGCCATTAAGATAATGATGAAACAATCAAAAGAGATTCTTACAGAAAAGGGGATATAATAAATGAAGAAACCCCAGGAAAACAGCTCACGGTTTTGAACTGAAAATTGAAAATATTTCAATCAGCAGGGGATGTGATGTGTCTGGACTGCAGGACTCTGCAGATAGGCTTGATTCACACATTTCCCAGTTTCGCTTAATCATTATGTATGGAATAACGGACGAGTGGCCAGGTTCACATAAGATAATCCACAAACCTTGCTTACAGACCTCAATGGCTAAAATAGCTAATCCAGAAAACAAGCAAACCACATTCTTACTTAATGCAACATGTTAATTTCATTAAGCAAGAATAACTTGCTACCAAGGCAACAGATGTCACACAGCCTCTACTGACACCCAGGTATTTACAAGGATAAAATGAAGAGAGGAATATGTATAAGTTAAAGACTGTCAATATTTCATTTTCATTGCCATGAAGATTCAAGGTGTTCTTCAATAATGGAGACGGCATGGTTTCAGTGCCAATACCCAGAAAACACGACTGGGAATGAACTACTAGTGCACCCATATCCTGCTTGTAGCATTGGCCTCTAACTAGGTTTTTTGGATTGAGGGAGATATGTGCTTCAAAGACTCAATTAAAATCAGACACTTTCTTCAACCCATATCCAATATCATTCTCAACAAAATCTAGCATCTCAGCAGCAGCAACTCCATAAGATGTGTTTTCTCATGTATGAAGCTATTTTGGGACACCTTATCAAATATATGTTACTTTAATTTTAAAACAGACTCAACCATAGTTTCAACTGGGAAACTGGAAGCATCGTAGACCAAGCTAAATCCAAGAACGCTAGAGAATTCCTGGAAGTTTTGCACTCAGACACATCAGCCATTAGCAAGCCCATACAGATGAACAACATTTATATACCATTCAAAAGACACAATAAAAAAGCTATAAAGACCAAAACACCTTTTACCAGTAATCAGCACCCAGATAAGTGGGGATTAACACCAAAGAATCAAGCAGTAAACAATAATATAATCAAAGCAACAAAGAATCAAGATCACGTGAAATGTTAATACCACTTTACAATGCCTTGGTAAGGCCATACTTGGTCACCATGATGTAAAAAAGATGTTGAGACTCTAGAAAGACTACAGAGAAGAGCAACGAAGATTAGGGGACTGGAGGCTAAAACATATAAGGAACGGTTGCTGGAATTGGGTATGTCTAGTCTAATGAAGAGAAGGACGAGGGGTGACAGGATAGTAGTGTTCCAATATCTCTGGGGTTGCCACAAAGAAGAGGGATTCTCCAAAGCACCTGAAGGCAGGACAAAAGCAACGGGTGGAAACTGACCAAAGAGAGAAGCAACCTAGAACTAAGGAGAAACTTCCTGACAGTTAGAACAATTAATCAGTGGAACAACCTGCCTCCAGAAGCTGTGAATGCTCCAACACTGGAAGTCTTTAAGAAGAGATTGGACAGCCATTTGTCTGAAATGGTATAGGCCAGGTTTCCTGCCTGAGCAGGGATTGGACTAGATGACTACCAAGGTCCCTTCCAACTTTATTATTATTACCAACGCAGATAAAAAAAATCAAGCATTAATTGGAATACGAGCCTTGATTCCTGATTAAGGAACTACCAAGAACAACATCCCCATCAACACTGATAGCGAAAGCTACTGTTATATATAAAGAGAGAGCAAATGCCACTCCCTTCCAACACTATAGATCAGTGATGGCGAACCTTTTAGAGACTGAGTGCCCAAACTGCAACCCAAAACCCACTAATGCATCGTCAAGTGCCAGTTGGGTGTGGCCCATTGGGTGGGCACGGCTGCAGTGGTAATGGCAGATTGGGTGGGACTAAAAAGTTCAATCAATCAATACCAACTTTGCGAGATTTTTTTTTTTCCCGTGAGAAATTGAAATTGACTGATTGAACCTTTTTTTTTTTTGGCACACGGCGGCGGAGGCCTAAAGTGAAAAGATTTTATAAAACCCAGCTGAAGGCCTAGGACTGGGGCGATGGGGCGCGTGCCCACAGAGAGGGCTCTGAGTGCCGCCTCTGGCACCCGTGCCACAGGTTCGCCACCACTGCTATAGATGTTACTTAGTCTGGTAACAAAACGTCCGCAAGAAAACAATCAAGCTTGGAGGGCATCAAGGACTCCACATTTCCATACTATAGGAAAGCAATACAAATGTAACCTTGGGAACCAATCCCCAAATGGAGCATTATAAATAGAAAAGATATATAATTTGCATTTGAGGCTTTTTTTTCCCCCAAGCAATATCTGGCGAATTGCCACTCAAGTATTCCACTGTATTCTGAAAATGAGGAATAGCTTCAAGTGAACAGATTCGCTTTTGTAAATCGGTGAGTTCAATTTCACAGCGTCTATTCAAAAGTGCCATATCCGTACCCGACACGCTCTCCTTATTCATGTGAACACAGGCACGTGCAAGAATTCACCGCTCTGCACTCAGAGAAGGTTCTTCCGCAAGCTCCTTTAGTGTACATAGATAGATAGTAAGCTCCCCTCAGTCTGTTATCACCTCAGCCATTCAATGCATTTTTCTTCAAAGGCTTGCCCTATTTAAATTTGGATTAGTGGGGAAGGGGGAGGGGAGATGGCCTGATACGACTTATCTGAGTATACTGCAATGCTGAGGAAGTCATATTTGTTAAAGCTGTCAGAAATACTAACTTGTGTAGGAAACATAATCGATAAAGACTACTAAATAACCCAGGCAGCTTTTAAAAAAGAAAGGGGGGGAGGGCATCCTTGAAGGAATGACGCTGGTGTTAGTAGGCCTGGGATGTCTCAGTTTTGCCACCTGGGTTAAAAATAGCTCCCTAGAAAAGAATGTGAGGAATGGTAGCTGTGCCAAGTTGTAAGGAACTTCAAAAGCAGCTTAATTGGTCCTCCCTCTAACAGGAATGCACAAGCTGACACTTCGGCACCTTCAAAATGTGGCTACGGAACACTTTCTTTTTTCTTTTTGCAGGGCAAAAATGAATAAATACAGGGAAAGCCATGTCAATATTAAGCTTAACTGAATATATATCAGATCAATCCACTTTTAGACTTGGCCTTGTCTAGTACACCATTTCATTCTGAAAAATGTGTACGGCCTACTCTAAAAGCATAGAGAGTGCTTTACACAAAGAGTAGAGCAGAGGTGGCAACATGGCCTTTAGGACACCACCAAATTGCTCCCCCCCACCTTCCCATTTATACACACATGCACACACAACTAGCGAGCGTGTTAAGATTAAATCTTTTTTTTTAAAAAAAATAGATATTTTTATTTTAATAGGTATGCTTGTTTATTTTGCACCCCTGAGTTTTTACACGGCTGCCTGCTGCCTCCCCAAAATGCTGTTACATTTATCATCCCTCCAGATCTGGTTGTTCGGTAGCCCATCCAATGCCCTGGTTAAGCTACATCTGACAGAAGTGTGCCCTCCCACACATGTGAATATACTGATAAGGGGAAAGTCAAGCTAAATGCCTTGCAAGTGATTCTGAGCAGCTTACTTGTTCTTAACTCCGGATGCTTCCGTGTAACCATGGCTCCACACGGCTGGGGCTCCAGAGGCGTCTCCGGCAGAAGGCTGGTCAATCTTGAAACAACGAATATTACTACAAAGAGAAACAAGAATGCTCAAGTATCCACGCTTCAAAAGAAAAGGAAGCAGTTCCCTATCTTTTGTTAATCTTGTGTCATGTTTGTATGCCATATTTTAAGTTGCAACGCAAGAGTGTATTTAAGATAGCAGTGATGAGTCCCTGAATACGCAAGAAAAACGACCATTTAGTAGTTACAGTACTATATTCTTTACTCCGCTTTTCTAAAAAAAAGTGTTGTCAAATATGACATTAAAAAAAGGAAATTAGAAATGTTAATAATAAGGTAAGTTAATTAGTTGCCTGAATAGGGTATTACAAAAAACAAAACAGCTATGCACAGATGAAAATGGTTTTTCCTCCCACACATTCTGGCATAATTGCGTTTTTTAATTCCTGCATTTCACCATTTTTTGGATTTATTTTTCAGTAAAAGTATTTAATTGGTATTCATACAAAGTCGTGTGTGTGTGTGTGTGTCTGTAACTGTTTATGTTTGTGTGGGTATAGTCATAAATTCACACCCATATACCCTGCTTACGTTGGCCCCACTTACACACTTTCTCTTTGCCCATGAGCAACTTCCCATTTTATCCTGCAATCTAGGTGACAAACTCCACCCACACACTTTTTCTGAATTTTAGCTGCCACCCCACAAAAAAGCTCCAGGAACTGCTTAAATACTAGTGTTTAACACAGAGTGCAATAGGCTGAATGAATCAATGCTTATTTTTAAAAACTATATTTATTTTAAAAAAAGGTGAGTAAAACAAAAAACATGTGATTTAACCTGCTTTATATAATAAATACATGACTATTGCAGATTTGGATGCCACTGCTGCTAGTCCTGAGATATAGTTCAATACAAACAGCTTCATAAATCATTCTTAGTTCAGGATTCACATGAAGAGCTTTCCAAAGAAGGCAAATAACTCAGCTACCCAACGTGAGCAAGGGACACCCACAAAAGTTAATGAAGCATTCACCGCAAACATCCAAGAAAGGGCAAGGGAAGACATTACGATTTGTGTCTATATCTAAAGACAGTTTATCTTAATATAACTTAGCCTGATTAGGCTGAAATTCTGTCACTTTAAAGAAACTGAGAGCCTTTTTCTAAGTTCTATAATGCATCCCTGTCACCCCTCCAGTGTGGCCACTGGCAACTGAAAGTAAGTAAGCGGGGTCACCATCAACTTGCCTAAGAAGTCAATCCCATCAGCATGGAATAGTGAGAGGAAGGGGAGATGAAAGATTATGGGTTTTCTTATGCACATTGCCCTTCATCACGCCATTCTTTCCTGTGTATCATGTCATTTTAGCTCAATCATAGCTAACCCTTTTTAGACAGGTCATACTTTGTTCTTATGCCCTACCCATAGGTATAGAGGGCATGTCATAGGACATCTGTGTGCCAAACATTTCTGACCCAACTTTTTTCAATCGGGTCAACTACAAAACAACCCCAATTTGAGGAAGATGTGGGGTGTTTAAGGCACTTGCTTTGCCCCCTGAAAATCCCCTAAATGCTTCTTTCAAGGCTCTGAAAATTCTGCCCTTTGTTCACTCCACAAGTCCTACCGCAAACTGCTGGCCATGTTAGATGGTAAATGTGAAAGTTTGCAGTACTTAGGGAAAAAAAAAAGAGCTGCTGCTTCTCAGGGCCACAGCATCACCTTTTGTGACCTTCTGATAAGCAAAGTCATTGAGGAAGCCAAAGTAACTTAACAACCGTGTTAATAACTTAACAACTGCAGTGATTCAGAAAACAATTGTGGCAAGAAAGGTCATAAAATAGGGCAAAATTCACTTAACGCTGTCTCATTTAGCAACAGAAATTTTGTGGTCGTAAGTCAAGGACTACCTTTACTTCAAATGAAAAAGATTGATAATTCCTGCTCTACATTATAGTTTCTACCAGTCCTGTCCACTTCTCTTGTTGGCTAAGGGGAAAAAAATGTTTTCTTAAAAACAGCCAACTCTTTGACAAGAGACCTTACAAATTTTCTCCTCTCCTCTCTTCTCCATTTTTGGGTAGTGAGCTCCTATTAACTTAGGGATATTGCATATCTTCGAGTCTTTGGATTTTTTTTCCTTCTCATAGTGATGTGACGGGAAAAGAACTAATAAAATAAATGGAAAAAGATACCACTCAGGATGAGTTTACCGTTCCTCCCCTGGTGATTCTAATACTAGAAATAAGAAGGGGTTTGAGTCTATCTAGCTAGAGTCTTTTTAATTTGGTCGTGCAGAACTTAGGAAAAGCCACTGCGTGTCAAGATAGACTCTTTAGGCAGGACGTGGATGACACAATCCTATGCAAAAATGGAGTGGGCCCTGAACTAGAAGCAGGGATAATTAATTGTTGGCTGGCAGCACAGTATGCCAAAGGTTGGGCTTTAACAAGTTTGTCAAAAGGAGTGGAGTTTACAGAAGTGTCTGAAGATACTTAGTAAACTGAGTAGGAAGATTCTGTTCTAGGCAACAATATTGTGTTAACTGTAATTCATACAGGATATGTTTATACAAGTTCACAAAATGACTAAAAGTAATGTAGAGATTTAGAGAGAACAAGGAAAGCGATCTCTGATAAGACTCTTTGAAAAATGATGGATATACATTTGCTGGCATTCTCATCCTTTGGAACCAGGGGTTTACAATGGCCACCGAAGACTGATTTTTGGAGCAGTCAGAGAAAGACGAGAAGGAGAAATCTTCACAGCAATATGATAGTGCCATGAGGAAGCCATTGTGCAATTCAAGAATGCCGTCAAAAACCACACAATCATTTCCTTGTACAGATCTAGTGGAAATAAAGTTCACCCAAAGAGAACTTTGACCGTGACAAACCTCCAAGTCATGAGTCAGCAAAATTCAGATCACATTATATTTGAAAGTTATAAGAGACAAAGTCCTTTTGCTCAAAATAGCAGATCTTTCAATATTTCATAAAGAGGCTTATCTCCATATAAGTATGATGTGTAAAAAAAAAAAGAATGTGTGCTGTGTAAATACGAACCTTCAACTCACACAAGCAACATGACATTTTCTTGATAGAACCGGTAGGTTTAGCTGAAAAATGTATGCGGCAATAGAGCTATTGGAATCGTAGGGCAGGAGGAAATATAAGTAAGGCTCATAAATATGTAAATATATCATCATTTTGTAAGGGACAAATCCATTTTGTTTCCTTTGGTTCTTCAGGATACAGGGATGGGCAGCAGCTACTTTTATTATAAGCCAAGAAACACAATTGAGGACTTGAGCATTTGGCATAGCGAAACAGGAGTAAGGGGACCTTGGTTCAAACCTCCAACAATGAAACTCACAAGATGACCTTGAGAGCCGGTCATTCTCTCAACTTACCTGGCAAAAAGACAGACATGAACAGAACCAAAAATGATCCAGAGGTGAAAAAAGATTTATTTTAAATTACGAGGTTTTGCTCCTGCTTCTTGATTCTTTGCATGGACGGTGAGTGGAGGGGGGGGGGGAGAGGAATGCTACCCATCTTCAGAATGGAAGTGTGAAGGTCAGGAGCAAAAAGAAACCATTTTGGGGGTTTAAGGAGATCTTGGACAAGAACAAACAGGAACCATTAAAGTGTAAAAACTGGGCTCTGGGCTCTGATTTACCAAACCAGTTATTTACTGAGTTCCAAAAGAAAAACAATCCTCCCAAACATAGTCATTTAAAAAAAAAAATTATGGGCGGCTAATGTTTACATAATAAGTGCTTTTTCCCTAAGTGCATCGTGTACCCTTTTGCCTATTGTGTAATAACGTGGATGGCGCCTTACTTCAGCAGCTCCAAGGTTTTGTGATCCAGAACTAGCCTGGGGTTTCCAGTCAGGTCTAGTTCCTGCAGCTTCGGAGGCAAGGTTTCAGGCAACGTGACTTCAGCCAACTCGTTACAGCTCAGATCCACACACTGAAGAACGAGGGAAGAGAGAACATAAAAGGTTCAGAACACTAGATGCCTAATTGTTACATCGTGTAAGAAATCAGAGTCCCAACTATCACAAGTTAACATGCACAGTAATAAAACAAGGTCTGGACTGTACCATTTCAGACCAGAAGTTGGGGGCACAGATAATGGAAAGCTCCACCGCTTGGGAACTTCACTATTGAGAAAATTATTACATAAATCAAGAACGTAGAATAAGCTTTATTCCTTAATATCTCATTTCCTGTGGGTATGTATTGTCATTTAGCAGAGGGAGCAACCCAATAAATATGCAGCTGCAGTCTGAAGTGGCAGAGCTTAGAGCCCTTCCTTGCTGTTTGAGAGAATTAAGCCAACCTCCTCCACCAACCATCCTTAATCAAGAAAATTCTACAATGGCCTCAATAAAACACAAGATATGATTATTTAATATAAACCATTCCTTGAAGTAATCCTCCTTTAATCTAACATGCCGTCATAAAATAATAAAAATAAAACAGGGAGCAACTGATATTCTAACTAAGGTACATGATTAGTTAACAGCTGTATTTTTCCTTCTTTCTTTTCTCTGTCTGCTTTCTGAAAATCCTGAAAGGTTGCACACTACTTAATGACTGTGAGTGAGCCTAATTTAATTCTGTAACTTTTCTAAACTTTATGCTTCATTAAATAACCTCCATGTTTGTTGCAGAATGAATAGTGATTTGTCTACTGTCTGCGTTAAGAGGGTAATTATTATCCTTAAGCTAATGGAGCACATCAGTGTTAAGTGAGTTTTAATTAAAAGTAATTTTATAAATACATATATTAAAAGCCAATTGCGGAAAGGGGATTGTCATAATTCTGACAGAGCTGTTATTATTCACCACCAGCCTTTAATACAGAGCCATGTTATGAATTTAAAGGTGCATTTAAAATCAATTTCAAAATGTAGCCTGCACTGAAAACCAAACAAAATTTTAAGATGTCACAAAAGATCAGATGATTGCCAATAAACTGGGAATACTGCCAAAGATATTAAAATATACAGTTGGTCTAGTATTGGGAGTCCAGTGATAGGTGGAAAGGAAAGAAGACAGGGGCAAATCATAGTAATTATTAAAAGTTTTAAAATTACTTGTTTTACACAGCAGAGAATTTCACTGAATTTTTAATTTTGTGCACAATGTTCAAGGGTATTGTTTTTCAGAAAAATCTGGAAAAGCAGAGCCCTTGGGACGCAAGTTGGAAAGATAAGAGTATGAATACCACTGTCAACCTAGCAAAGCTTCCCCCCCCCCCAAAAAAAAGAATCTTGGGATGGCACACAGAATGTGATGTACACAAGCCTTCCCCCCCCCCCAACCACAGAGATGTACGATTTGGTTATAGAAATGCCTAAAACAAGTAGTGCAATCTCACATGCCCAACTTACGAGCAAAAGGTTGCCTTGACATCTTGAGGGAGATGGAATAATTGTATTGCTACCTAAAGTGTTGATGTAAGAAGATATATCACTTTACAAACACTCTCAGTGTTTCTTTGTTGTCTCTCTCTCTCTCTCTCTCTCTCTCTCTCTCTCTCTCTCTCTCTCTCTCTCTCTCTCTCACACACACACACACACACACACACACACACACACACACACACTGCTCCAGATACAATTACCAATATCTCAAATATCTATTATTGCTCTGAACTCTTCCAGGAACCATCTTTCTCTTTGAACGGATTTTCTATAGCACATGGGCAAAATGTAACTTCGTTTAAATACACACGAGAAATCCACAAGAAATCCTACCATAATTGGAGGTATGTAAAAAAAAATTTTTAAAAAAAATACTCTACCTTCACTATGGATTACTTCCAAGCAACTAAAAGGAGCTTTAGGCGTAAATTCTTACGAAACCCCTATTTATATATTGATTGTATTATTTTTGTTTAGTTAAATTGTAATTTAGATATGGAATGGGATGAGTTTTAGCCCTGTATTGGGTTCCGGGAAGCTCAGGGGGGAAAGGGGATTAGGGGAATTATAAAAATTGATGTATTTACATTTTATAGATAAATACTTATTGTATTGATAAGAGGAGATGCTCGGCTGGTATCCCAAATTGCACTCGAGGAGGTGGTAAGAAAGGAGAGGGGATGTAGATAGGTGGTAAGGAGGAAGGTGGAGAGGTTGGGTGTTAGAGGGAGGAAGGAAAGGTAAATGGATGAGGGTGGAGGCATGGTGGGGACTGCCGAGCGTCTCTGAAAATGTATTGATTTGGATTATTATTATTTTTGTTTATGTACGTAAATGCATCATAACCTTTGTTGTTTAATTATAAAAATTAATAAAAATTTATTCAAAAAAAAAATTCTTACGAAACCCCTACCTTGATCTCGCCAAGTTGCATGACTTCTGGAAAGACTTCGATGCAATTGGAGTGGGCAATCACAGTATGCATGCGGTGACAATTCATGATCGTTGTTGGAATGGATTTCAGCTTATTGCCACTAACGTCGATTTCTTCCAACTCTTCAAGTTTGGCCATTTTACTACAAAAGGGCAAGAGGGAGGTTTTGAGCATAATAACCAAAGCATTCTCTTAGAATAATGACTTTAAAGGCCAAAGCACAGGTAGTTCTCGACTTACAACCTTTCATTTAACGATCGTTCAAAGTTACAACAGCACTGAAAAAAGTGACTTAGGCCTGTTTTTCACACTTAATGACCATTGCAGCACCCCGTGGTCATGTGATCAAAACCCAGACACTTGGCAACTGACTCCTATTTATGATGGTTGCCGTTTCCCGGGTCATTGTGATCGTCACTGTGACCTTCTGATAAGCAAAATCCACGGGAAAGCCAGATTCACTTAACAACCGTGTTACTAACTTAACAAGTGCAGTGATTCACTTAACAACCGTGGCAAGAAAGATAATAAAATAGGGGAAAACTCACTGGACAATTGTTTCACTTAGAAACATACATTTTAGGTTCAATTTTGGTCATAGGTCGAGGACTACCTGTATCCTGGAGCCTTTCCACACTTACGTGACAATTGTTATGTACATTGCAGAAAACAAAAAAAATCTTGATAGTAATAGCCCTGCAGATAAGGAAGGCCTCATTTGTTGATCTCTATTTCTTTCATAAATGCCTCTTTGGAAAAATTACACTCACTCATACCAAAATGAGAGTAATAATGATCTTAAGGCTCATGATTTCTAGCCAGAGGTTCTACCATTCGTAAAACTGAAAGGAACTTAAAAAATTAGTTAGAACTGGTTTCAGTAAAGGAATGTACCAGGATAACAGCTGAGTAGGGTGTTCTCGTAAATGTTTCCAATCTGCTCGCTTCAATATTACTTTCTCCTGATTCTGATCACCTTCTAATTTCCCTGCAAATTCTGCACACCGGTTCTAATGTGGCCCTTTTGAACATCAGAGAGTAAGCCTGCTCTACTGTCTCTAGATGATATTTTAAAATGTTATTATTTGCAAAACTAAAAAAGAAAAAAAATGGCCACTTATATGAATATTTATAATTAGACAATTCAATTAATTTAATGTGTATCTTCATATCATACTACCTTTGCTATAGGATCCGTTTATATTTCGGGTTTTTATGTTTTAAGAAGTGGAAGTAGAAAAACATGGAAGAGCAAACATATACAACTATATAAGCAGATAATATATCTAAATAGCCTTCCATATCAGACTCCTGAAAACACAATGTCAACTTCTGAAACGAGTCTGGCTAAAGCCACCTTTGTCATTCTAAGTCGCCACATAGGTTGGGGGAGAAGGGGGAAAGAAAACTAAAGTATGCTAGACTAAACACGGAGTGGTCCCGTGGGAACCAAGGTCATTCCCACAGGTGCTGGAAGGAGGAGTAAAGACGAGTTGCAGAGCCCACCAATTACTTTTATTCGGTAGCATAGTTTATAGCAGTGATGGCGAACCTTTTAGAGACCGTGTGCCCAAACTGCAACCCAAACCCCACTTATGCATCGTCGGGTGCCGGGTGGGTGTGGCCCATTGGCTGGGTGTGCCCCATTGGGTGGGCGTGGCTGCGGTGGTAACAGCAGAGTAGGTGGGACTAAAAAGTTCAATCAATCAATTCCAACTTTGCAAGATCTTTTTTTTTCCGCAAGAAGTTGAAATTGACTGATTGATTGAATCTTTTTTTTTTTTTGCACATGGCGGTGGAGGCCTAAAGCAAAAAGGTTTTATAAAACCCAGCTGAAGGCCTAGGACTGGGGCGATGGCGCGCGTGCCCACAGAGAGCTCTGAGTGCCGCCTCTGGGACCCGTGCCATAGGTTCGCCACCACTGGTTTATAGCATAATAGAGGGGAGGGGAACTTTACATTTAGTTACATTGAATCTCTAGGGAAAAATTTAGAGTTGGTTTCACTTTTGACCATACCGATATTATGTATCCAATAAACATGTGCTTTGAGGAAACTTCAAGTTTCGGAGTTCTGCTTTATTTGGTTTCATTAGTCGGAACCTAGACACACTTATATTTTAAAAAAAATCTAAGTAGATAAATTCTTCACTATAACAGATGGAGAATGAGGGTTCTCCCATCCCTGTGATATGAAACTTTTTTACAATTATAACCTTGGTCCTCTGGTTAGTTTTCTTATCATTAAGTCTTCTAAAATAATTGGATTCCAAAGCCATTCAATTTTTAAGACATGACAGATACGCTGATTATAAGGTAGCCCGTGAGACAAAGTTTCCAACAGACAAAACCTGACATTAGTTGACCCTGAACAGAAGACATGCCTTGTGATTTAAATTTAAATCTGGAAGATTGCATTTCCTTCTCTAATTGACAATTGGGGCTTCCCGAGTGAAAGATGAGAGGCAAATTTCTCCACATTGACCCCCAAACCTATGTTAAATTTCCAAAGACAGGTTTTACACACACACACACACACACACAATTTCCAGTGACAATTTTTTTTTAAAATACATACTGATTTTTACACTACAAACTTAAACTGAGTGCTGCCTCTATATCCAAACTACCACTATTTCTGATAATTAATACACAAATGTTTGAATTCAGTCTGATCCTCCTGAAATACACTGCAAGACATTTTCAACACAAGGTAAGTTATAATCCATCAGAACTCTTAAGATATGCCTCTTCGTATAATAGCACATGTTTTATAAATGATGAGTATCTGCATCCATTGTTTGTTTAGTGTATTATCCAAAGATGGATGGAAGAAGAAGCTCAATGAGACTCTGGTACACTGCTCATTTGGTAGCAAGACCAACAGTATTGGATCCGTACCATATTTACTCAAAAAAAAAGCTACCATTTAGTGAAATATCAACTACGTAACATCCTTTAAATAACCATATAAGTAGCCCAAAATATTTGATCAAGAAGAGAATCAGCTACTACCACACTTTCTTACCTTGCGGGAAAGCTTTGCAAGCGATTATAGGCCATATGTAGTATCTTTAGGTGAGGATGACCGGTTAACAAGGGGACACTTTTATCTGTGAGGTGATTGTTGGTCAAATAAAGTTCTTGTAAAATACTATGGGTCTCCTCTGAAAGAGTGGCTGGAGGTAACATTTCCAGTTTGTTGGCAGAAGCATTCAAGTACCTTAAGCTGCAAAAGCAATTATTAGAGATAACTTTAGGTACACATTTTCAAAGACCTTTTTCATGGTTTAGTAGCACTGTTCCTGGAAATTTGTAGCCTTACTATCAAAAGAGAGTTTAAACTGACAGAAACATGAGATAAGGGCCTCCTCTGTAGATCCAATTGATCCTGGGGATGTAAGAATAGTGCTTTTCTTTGCTTTAACAGGGCAGCCAAAACAGTTCTATTCTGCTTGGTTTACCACTATTTTAATAGTATTCTCTGACCAATTGATACACATTGTTGTGAATTATTCACCTGTTTGACAGGACTGATAAACAAAAACAGGTACAGAGAATAGAATTCTTTACTGGCCAAGTATGATTAGACGCACAAGGAATTTGTCTCTGGTACGTAAACTCGCAGCGTACATGCAAGCAACAAGTAATAAATCATGATCATAATCATAAAATACAATACCATAAATCATAAGACACAACACTCAGTGATAGTCATAGGATGCTAAATAATCAATCAATATAAATCATAACAGGATATTAAATAAAAGCAACCAACATAAATCATAAGATACAGAGTTGTAAGAAGCTAAGGAAATAGGAAATATATGGTTTTAACAGACATAAATAATGTTACTGAGAAAAAATGTGTAAACAGCCAGTTCTGCTCATTTCCTAAGAACCTGAGTAAATTCTCAGCTGCTGTAGTGCAATCAGATGTTTAAGAAAAACAAATTCTTCAAAAAGTTTTAAAAGCAGGAAATAATAACATTACCCAGATAGTGAATTGAAGAGAATTCATATTATTTTTATATTAGCTTCCACACATACATGGAAGGTTATCTCAAAATGTTTTTGTTTAGTCTTTAAAAACTTAGATAGAAAAATACAGTATAGTAAGGGTGATGTATTTTCGAAAGTTAGCAATTTTATTTATTTTAAATCAGGAAGCACTTGGCTCTATACAGAAAAATGTCTTCACAGGTAGACACCTTGGTAGACAAAATAAATGGCATAGCTTTTGTAACCCAGTGATTATTTGGAGAGACCTGAGGAGGGGATTGGGATCCAATTTAAAATGGAAAGGTAGTGAAGAGATAGAGGAGCATCCTACTCATTTCCTTAATCCCTTTTCTCCTGCCCATACAGTTAGCCTCACTGGGGAAATTATTTGTTGTAATAAATTTATATGGATGCGAAATCATATATTATGACCTTGGTCAGCTAACATAGAACAGAACAAGAACACAGAACAAGAACCAGGCTAACAAGACAAAAAGAACACAAAATAAAACATAATGTAACTGAACCCAACCCACAATCAATTCCATTTCAACTCATAACAATGGAATCACCCTGCTGTCTGGGGAACAGCCAGGTCTTACGGAAGGCCTACAAGGTTGGGGCCATCCAAATTTCAGGTATTACAATATTTCAGATGCAAGCGTGACCCACCTAAATATACTATTGGAATAAAAGTGGCTTGGGAAACAATAGGTAATATTAATCAGGAACAAAGCAAAGGAAGAAAAAAGAATTAAGCATTTGCTGCTCTGCACCTGTTTTCCACCAACGATGGTGTCAGAGGCTATACTATATTCCCAGTCAATCAATGCAACTGCCATAAGCTGCAGTGTATTAGATATACTATCTTAATTTATAATATAGCGTGATATGGATGACTAAGAACGGACTACTATGAAGCATGGACTCATCAGCTTGTATTTTCCCGTTGATTAAGTGTTTGGATGATTTCATCGCCAGCGTTTTTTAATCACATGTTGCCATATCATCCAGACGTTGAATTTTAGTTGACACTAATTCTTGCTAATTTTAGATAAGACAGCTTCATTATAGTTTAAAATTAGTTTGTCTTAAACCAATCAAGTTCAGTTAAATGCCTTGTCCTGGCGTAGTTGCTGAAGAAGCTCCACTACTGATTCCCATCATTATCTTGAAAAAACGGAGAATATAATAATAATAATATAATGCTAGACTAGCAGAGGTTATATTATAGAGCGGGGTGTCAAATTCAATTTCACTGAGGGCTGCATCAGCATTGCGGTTGCCCTTGGGGGGGCCGGGTGGGTGTGGCCAGTGGGTACAGCCTACTGGGTGGGCATGGATGGAGTGGGTGTGGCCTACTGGGTGGGCATGGCCAGTTCTACATCATTCGCGTCAAGGGTGCCTGTGGGGGCCTGGGCAGGAATGGGACAGATCTGAGGGTCTCTGGCAGAAGGGGGTGGGACCAGGGCAAGTGCCAAGGCATGGTCCACCAGGGCAAGTGCCAAGATGGCCACCACAAAATTGTACATTGGCTCCTGGCTAGCCTGAGCCAGGGCCAGGGCCAAGGCAGCGGGGGCCGTTCCCTCACTGTTTCCAGGATGGCTTCACGGGCCACATGAAACCACTTCGCGGGCCGCATCCGGCCCCCGGGCCTTGTGTTTGACATCTCTGTTATAGAGCCATGAAGGTCATATCAGCTTAAGTCTCTTGCATTTTGGAAAGCTCAGTAGGAAATATTTAATGCGAACAATATCAATTGCATTTTAAAATCACAAATGTAGTGTTCTAAAAATAAGACTATTTACATTTGATAACATGCTATTTTTTTAGATAAAATTAAGAGGAGAACATTTTATGAATACTAGCTTTTACTAAGTTAACTAATAGTATTTTAATATATTGTATAGATTGGTATTACTTCTTTAAACTTAGAGATAGGCCTTGTTAATATCTCTGTACTAAAAGGAAGTTGGAGGTCATCTTTGTTATATTTGGTAGATGTATTTTCTTTGGGACTTTTAATGTGCTTTGTTTCTTTTTCTTTTCACGTTACTTTGCATTTTAATGTAGATGTTGACATTTAATAAAGATATTATTTAAAAAAAAACACCTTTAAGGGATGGTAAATTTTGCTATTTCACTCTCCACAAATAAACATTTGGGAGATTAAGCATTGCCTGATGTTATTTACTTTAGTTTGTTTTTTAATTAAAATGAAAAAAAAATACACTACAATTAACAGTAGAAGTTATACAACTTGGAAATTACGTTTATACTGTTCTATTCTCTGGGTGGATTTTTGGGTTACCTATCAGCTTTTAGCAGCAGATTAGATGGCAGCTCCACAAGTTGGTTGTGTTGCACATCCAGGACTTCCACATGAGTTCGTTCAATCCTCTCTGGTAGTCTTTCCAACTGATTGTGTCCAGCAAGTAATTTTCGCAAGCTGATATTGCAAAATAACCTTAAAACATACAAATAGCAGTAAAATGTACAGCTCTAATTAAAGGAAGTTTATTTCAGACAAGCTGAGAAAAATTTCAACAACATTCTGTACAGAAGAAAGGGTCTAGACTGGCTCAGGAATTCTGGCAGTTGAAGTCCACGAGTCATAAAAGAGCCAAGGTTGCCTACCCCTGGTCTAGAAGTAGCCAAACCAATCACTGTGTGAGAATGAATCTATTAACTAAAATAAATGGGAGGAACCAATGTACTTTTCCATATCGGTAGTCCTTGACTTATGACTGTGATGGAGCCTTACCGTGATCATCGTAAAGCAGGGCCTCCGACGTGACTGGCTCAATTTTAAAACCTTTTTTGCGGCTACTGTTAAGTAAATCTGCAGTCTTTAAGTGAATGCCATGGTCATTAAGTGGCACTTTTGTGCTAAAAACTGGGAGTAAAATGCAGTTTTTTTGGCAAAAATGTCATAAATTGTGGTCACGTTACTGCGGGATGCTGTAAAACAGCTGTAAATGTGGGCCAACTGCTGAGCACCCGACATGTGGGCAATGTGACCCGAGGAGGACAAAGCAACTATGAAAACTTTGGAACCAGACTGTAAGAATCTTCTGAAGGGTCCATCATAACATCAAAAAATCCCTAAGTGGCTAGTCGTAAGTTGAAGGCTACCTGTGCAGTAGAGAAATTTCTCAAATGCAAATATTCCCTGGATATTTTTCTGAGAGGATAAGTGGTCACCCATGTTTTTCAGAGGAAACTACACTGAACTTTCAATAGTATCCTGAAATCAAGAGTATATTTTGCCAGGCTATACAAGCATAATATCTAAAAAAGTGACGCTCTGAGTTTTGGGAAAGATGCATGACCTCCTTTAGGACTTCTGCCTGGAAATCTGAGAGATTGTTTTGTTTACATCCGCGTGAAGAAAACTGTTCTGACTCTATGACACGCCATGTGAGAAAAAAACATTAAACAGAAGAAAAAGATCAAACAACACGGAACACAGTTCTGTCACTAAGCAAGCTGGAAACTGATTCAATGCAAACCATTTCCTACTTTGCACCCTGTTTCTGGTTGTTTTAAAAGTAGGACTCACCTAGAGGGAAGTTCACGTATGTGATTGTGGCCCAGATCCAGTACTTCTAACTTTCGGCTATCACAAACCCATTCTGGAAGGCTCTCCAAGTGATTTCTACACAAAAAAAGACAAAAAAATGATGACAATAATGTTAAGGGATGTTTACTTATTATTGTCACATGTGGTTTAAAATGTACAGATATATTAGATGTCCTGTCAGCTGCAGCACACAGCTTTTAGGCAGCTGGGATTGACTGCAGCTACATGTGAAGTGCTTACAGAATGGCAAACACAGATTACCATGAAGCATACTGAATACCTTTAAAATCTTGAATTAACCAACCTAACCACATAATATTTTGTGTTAATCCACAAAAATCATCCCTAGTGCCAATTTATATGAAGAAGGCATCTTTAGCGAAGATATATATATCTAAAATGGAACATTTCAAAGCCACCCTAATGGATAAAACATTGTGTGCAGTGTGCACGCATACACATTTTCTCATGCAGCAGCTATTAAAAAAAAATCTATTATTCCCACTCAGTCTCTCTGGAAACAAATTGTGGCATACAATTCACTGACGTTTAGGAAGTAGTAGCAAGCCACAGGAACGTAATGTGGGCTTAGAAATGTCCCAGGATCATTTTTGTGTCTCTCTCTGTGTGTGTCTGTGTGCACACACACACACACAAATATATTCATATTCGAGTTACAATGGCAATTGGGACTAGAATTTCCATTGCTAAAGTGATGTTTTGTAAAGCTTAATGTCACATGACCACATTGTTTAGCAACAGCAATTCTGGCGGTCCTGGTTGCCATCATTAAACAAATTGTCCAATTGTTAGCTGAGGATCCATCCCCATCCAAGCAACCCCAGCTTTGGTCCCTCCCAACATTGATCCATGGTAAGGTATAGGACTTTCTCCTCTTTAACTACTTTCGCCTGCCTACCTTCCCCTCTTCAATGTACTTTTAGCCACCTACTCCACTGCCTCTGACAGCCTTGTCCCCTGTGCCTGCTGCTCTTGCCAACCTCGTTGCTCCAAGATGACCGCTACTGTCTTTTTCCTGCCACTGCTGAGGTCCACTTAGCCTTTTGTGAGGCAGCTATTGGCCATGCCATGCCTGTTTTCTGAGGCTGCACCACTCCTTGTCCAAATATGTTATGGTCTTCAACTCATGAAGATAGGAAGAGGAAAGAAGGCCACCGTGGTGGCATGACAGAAGGACTCCCCTAACCGGGATCCTTTTTCACGAAAGAAGGCCATGGCTGGGATGTTGGAGATGCCCCACTGGCATCAGTGTGAAAGAGGGCAGTTCAAAGAAGGCCTCATCCAGTGCAGTAGTGGTTTGCAGTGTAGCAGATGTGGTGGCAGGCATGGCTAAGCAGTGGGTGCAGCTGGCAGTAGGCAGAGGACCAAAAAGTGGTCATAAATGCAGGTATTCCCAAATTTTGTTCATGTGACTGCAGGAGGCAGAAACTTTTGAGGACTGGTTATAAGTCCCTTTGTTCAATGCCATTGTAATTTCAAACAGTCGCTGAACAAATGGACACTAAGCAAAGACAATCTTAGTCAACATCATCGGACATGGGAGATGGGGGAACTGAGATTCTTCTTTCACCCAATAAGCTCCCACATCAACGATTAGTAGGGCAGTAATATCCCTTATACTAAAGCAATAAAACCTCAGAATTAAATACAATACAATTTAGAAAAATTGGCAATTTCATATGAAATTAAACAAATTGCAAAACTGGGCAATATCCTGTGTCTTTAAACATTTACCCTGCTTGTTTGTTTTGAGCCTATGGCCTGAAAAGATTACTGTGCCCTGTATTATTTTAGTAGGGGCTAAAACCTTCATATCTGGCAATGGGTCCTTCAACTTTTCCCCACCAAGATACCCAAAAGAAAGCTTGCTAGACTAAGTGGAGAAGATTATCTACTGTCGTATCTACTCTCCCTCTTAACCTTGGGGCTTTAACTCTGAGGGCCACATTATTAACATGTTTTCTACTCTGAACAATAAGAAAATCTAATTACTTATGAGGTATCGTGGATATCGTGTTCAAAGTTGTGGCATTTACTTAGCAGCTCAACAAATCAAAATAAGTGTAATGCAGAAAAGTGGATTGCATTAAAAATCACTCCCCAAGTTTATACAGAAACATTTGTGATGATCACTGCTTCAAACGAAAGAAATATGACAGATCAAATAGGTTACACACAATATTCCAGGGTCACCAGGAAAATTCATTCAATCTCATGCAGTCAACAAGATCACTTTATTAGTCTTCAAGTGCTCCAGTTTCTTCTCATGTTTTTTACTAATACTACATTCAAAACCAGTCAACTTTTAAAGATATGCTTACCTAGAAACATCCAAATAAGTTAGATAATTTGGAACTGGATACACATCAAGGTGAACAAGTTCTGGAAGAGAAAGACAAATACTGTATTGCAAAGATAAATTTAATTTCAAGCTACTAAAAGTAGACCACCTCATGTTGCCCAGGTTTATTGAAACAATATATAAATCATAGCATGGAGGACAAAATACGGGCAGTCCTCAATTTACAACAGCTCATTTAGTGACCGTTCAAAGTTACAACAGCACTGAAAAAAGTAACTAATTACCGTTTTTCACACTTACGTCTGTTGTAGCATCCCCATGGTCACGTGATCAAAATTCAGACACTTGGCAACTGACTCACACTTATGACAGTGGCAGTGTCCCGGGGTCATGCGATCCCCTTATGCAACCTTCTGACAAGCAAAGTCAATGGGAAAGCCAGATTCACTTAACAACTGTGTTACTAATTCAACAACTGCGGTGATTCACTTAACAACTGTGGCAAGAAAAGTCATAAAATGGGGCAAAATTCACTTAACAAATGTCTCACTTAGCAAAAAAAACCCTGGGGTTCAATTGTAGTCGTACGTCAAGCACAACTGAACAGTTAAAAACAGCAAATAAGAATCTAGTAAAAAATAAAGAACATTTTAATAAGACTTTGAAGACATTTCACTGAAATAGATGGGATTTTCTTATTTGCCTTTAGCTTAAATAAAATATAGCTCTGTTGTAAAGAAAAGTATTCATCCTTTATTTTGTAAACTATAGTTTTGCTTTAAGAACTGTAATCCATAATGTGTGTTTTGGGAATACATGAAATATCTTTCTCCCCAAGAACTCTATGACATGGGTGACAAACTGCCGGCCCACGGGCCGGACGCATCATCTGGAAGCCGTGCCCACCCCATTGCCGGCAATGGCAATACTGTCCCAATACATTGTGCGACGTCATGTAACGTCGCGAGTTTGACATGTCTGCTCTATGATATATCTCCCATCAGTAAGAAAAACTGTATTATGGTTTATCACTTCACAATGTTATACTTGGTGTAGCTGGTCTAGTATAACTAAGTTGGAAAGAAAATCAGCTTCAGCAGATTTAATCTGAATGAGGACATCAAAGTACCACTAAATTTTTAAAAGCTTCTCTAATTGGTCAAATGTTAGGCAAGAACAAGCGTATATTGGATGGAGTTGGGCACTGCAGATAGGTAGAAAGAAAATTGCATTCTGATGTTATGCGGCCCTTGATTTTGAGCTAAATCCTTCTACCAACACCTAGCTCTCTTCACAAGTGTTTTGTTGTTGTTGTTGTTGTTGTTGTTACTGAAATGGAGGTGCATTCAGTCATACAACCCTTCATTTGCAGAGTCTGCATCTGCAATATTACCCAGGCACAAATTCATCTCTTTGGCGAGAATTAGTCCTCTGGATAAATCAATGATCTCTCATTTGATTATTTCACCAAGGATATCCCCTAAAAAGAATATATAGTATGTTTACAGATAGTCTTTGAGTTACAATCACAATCAAGCCCAAAATTTATGTTGCTAACTGAAACATTTGTTAAGTGAGTTTTACGACTTTTCTTGCCACAGTTGTTAAGTGAATCATTTCATTTGTTAGGTTAGTAACACAGTTGTTATGTGAATCTGGTTTCCCCATTGACTTTGCTTGTCAGAAGATCACATGTGATCAAAAGTGATCACATGACCCCGGGACACTGCAACGGTTATAAATATGAGTCAGTTGCCAAACATCTGAATTTTGATCATGTGACCATTGGGTTGCTGCAATGGAGGTAAGTGTGAAAAACAGTCATAGGTCACTTTTTTCAGTGCTGTTGTAACTTTGAACGGTCACTAAATGAACTGTTGTAAGTCAAGGACTAGCTGTACTATGTTTATTTCTAGATATGCAATCTACTGAAATGTCCTCATGCAATCTATTGAAATGTCCTCTTTACAATGACTAGTAGCTGTAACCATTTTGTACACTAATCTATAATTATCTTCCACAGTTGCAGCTCATCCATTCATTTGTCTAGCTACTATAAAAATGTTTATTTCAAAAAAGCCTGATTTTTTGCTACTATTCATTTTGCAATCTGCCCCACCACTCAATTGTATGTTATGCATATGGAGATACAGGTGGGTGGTCTAAAATCAGAGGGTTTTTTTTTTAAAAAAAGAATCAGTCAAGGAAGGATAGGCTATGAATCAATCACAACATAGGTCAGTGATGGCGAACCTTTTAGAGACCGAGTGCCCAAACTGCAATCCAAAACCCACTTATGCATCATCGGGTGCCGGGTGGGTGTAGCCCATTGGGTGGGTGTGGCCCATTGGGTGGGTGTGGCTGCAGTGGTAACAGCAGACTGGGTGGGACTAAAAAGTTCAATCAATCAATTCCAACTTTGCAAGATCTTTTTTTTCCTCCACGAGAAGTTAAAATTGACTGATTGATTGAACCTTTTTTTTTTTTTTGCACACGACGGCGAAGGCCTAAAGCGAAAAGGTTTTATAAAACCCAGCTGAAGGCCTAGGACTGGGGCGACGGCATGTGTGCCCACAGAGAGGGCTCTGAGTGCCGCCTCTGGCACCCGTGTCATAGGTTCGCCACCACTGACATAGGTCATGAAGCTAGGATTCATCTCAATATCAATAGTTAGGGAAGTAAAAAATAGCAGGAGAAATGAACTATTGTTGTGCCCAGCATAAGTGCACATTTCAAGTAACCAATCAGGATTTCCAGCTAAAGAGAGCTTCAAGATTTGATGGAAATATTTCCCCTCACCTATTAGTAGTGATATTATGCAAAACAAAAGTATGCATAATTTACACAAGCTGTGGAGAAATTGTTTTTGTTTTCAGGATATATAACACATTCCACCCAATTTTAAATTCAAAGTAAATTTAGTATCTTTTCCAGCTGTGGCCTGCTGATTGTTTTCAGCAAAAAAAATTAAAAAAAAATGAAATATTATTTAAAAGGCAAGTATGTATCATTGTTCTGAATCAGTTTTTCAGCACTGTCACTCATCAGTACAGTGACCATATACCTCCTATTATAAATAGTCCTTTATTTCATAAAGCTGTCCTTTAGATTTATTTTCTCAAAAATTCACTTTTGTCCTTTATTTTAGTCATTAGCATTTACTGTATAAATGATACCACTTAGTGCAGAATCTTTCACATTCATGTGAAAATATAGAAATTGAATTGTCTTTTTAAAATAAATTTACATACACTAATTTTTAGATATTTTTATTAGAATATGGGTTTTGTAAAGTTTTTCTTGATTTTGCTTTGAATTTTCCTTTATAAAGCAAAGTTAATAAAGAATTAAAAGTTTTTTATCTTTATGAACCTCATTCAAATTTGCCCCTTTTTTCAGGCTTATCCTAACCCAAGAAAATATGGCCACCGTGCTTATAAGCCAAGTCAACTGCTGATGGTCCTAATCATTCTGAATATCAGCAATAAACTGTCAGCAATGAAATAGTGGCAAAGAGTGGAGTTCCCAAGATGAACTTGAAAGAACAAGGATATGTGGGACAAAGGGTACAGAGAATCGGTCTTTTGTTAACAGGAAGATAAAAGGAAGATAAAACACTGAGGCAGTTTCAGATTAACTCAAAGTGTAGAAATCTAGAAGTTCTCCCTTGGCTTTTGCTGAGTGATAGGGGCCCCTTATCAGAGTATATTGCTAGCATGAGAAAGCTCTCTGTACATGTTGCTAAACTCCATGGGAAAAAGTATCGTGCAGATAGATGCTGCTTTACTAGCTACTTGTAATGGAAACGCTTCTCCTTCTATGTATTTAATGCAGGAATCCTCTGAAGCTGTCAGCCTTACTAGACAGACTAGATAGGAAACAGATGTGCTCATTCTATTTTATGTTAAGGCTACATTAACAGACTCTTCCCAGTAGAAGTACAATTCTCCTCCTTTACAGCCTAAGAAATTAGGGAGGGTCTCTTCTGAACTTCTTGTCCCACCTACTATCCAATTGGGGCTATGCAGTCTGACCCTTTGTCCAGAGACTTTCCATGTACCATTATATAGTGTTGGAAGAAAAGGGTTCACCGTGGTTCAGTCCAAGCTGGAAATAAACATGGCGATTGCTTTAGGAAGAAGTTTATTGAAGAGGAGAGCCAGACAGAAAGATGGCTCTGGCAGAGAAGAGGGGAAAAAAAGGGGCTGAGCACATGTAGGGAGTGGGTTTTTATACCCTCTGGAGCCCTTTGTTTGGAGTTGTTTCCTGTTCCTGTTTTGAGGCTTTGTATTTCCTGTGTCATGTATTTTGACCTGTGTCCCTTTGGCATCTGCGAGTTAATCCTATTATGTCCTGTCTTAGACTTTGGGTGGGGTATGTAGATTTTAGGTGTCTTTGTCTTCTTAATCTTCTAGCTTCAACTTTCCTCAATGGTCTGCATTTCTATAGAGCTGGTTTCTGCTTGGGGGAGGGAGACCTGGGGCTATTAAGAAAAAACTGGGCATGCCTTTCTGCCTCTTTAAGATTCTTTGAGGAAATATATTTTTCTGACCTTTTAATATTTCCTTCTCTGGGGGGCTGACTTCCCACAATAGAAAGAAGAAGCTGAACTGGCTGATGAAAAAAATAGATTATTTTTAAAAAGTGGAAAAGGAGAACAAGAAAGTGGAAACGGACACCTCAGTAAACATCCCACAACGTGTCTAGCAACATGAACCTATGGTATCAATATAAATGGAACATACAGAAATATTAAGGACTCTAATGAGCAAGAATTGATAGGGTGCCTTCTCTACCTCAATAAACCAAATCTGTAAATTAGAATACTATTATTCAATGGAATAGATAGTTCTTGATTTATGACCATTTATTTAACCCTGTCTTGAAGTTACAATGAACTTGGAAAACTCACAACATGCCCTTGAAGTTACAATCACTGTACCATCCCTGCAACCACATGATCGCAATTCAGGAACTTGGCAACCAGCTAAGATACACAACGGTTGCGGCATCTATGTTCATGTGATCGTGATTTGTGATCTTCCCTGATGGTTTCCAAACAAGCAAAGTCAATTGGGAGAGCCGGATTTAATGACAGTGGGATAATGACAGTGGGATTCACTTAATGACTGTGGGATTCATTTAGCATCGGCAATGATTTGCTTAATGTCATGGGGAAAATGGTAGTAAAATTGGGGTCTGTTCACATGATGATATAATTAATAACTGCCATCACTTAGTGATCAAATTCAGGACTACTTGTATACAATTTATACATCTCTCTAGGACAGTCACTTTATTTTATTTCACAAAGAATATATGGAATTTGTGAGACACTCTAGAAGATTTAAAACTTGCATTTAAATCCCAAGGATTTCCACTTTACAACACTCTAAAAGAGCATGTAAGCACCGCTCTACAAGCTTCCAAAATTCTGCTGCTAAATGTTTTATGCAAAGCCAGATGGTTAAAGACTGGATTCATCCACAACTTAATATTGCATACAAATCCAATATAAGAAGAAAAGACTGGGAATATCAATTCCTATTTGAACTACCTTCAAAGTAAACATACCATTTGAAGTGGCATAAAGAGCTTTAAGTAAGTATCCACTGATTTTGAGGGTTACCAGCTGGTTTCTTTCACAGTGTAGTATTTCAACATTATTGAAGATGGTTGCATCTAACTCTCCTAGCTTATTATCCCGAAGATCGAGCTGGGTCACATGATGTAGGAAGTCACTCTCATCGCCCATCAACTTTCTAATCACATTTAACCTGGGATAGAAATGGGAAGGGGAAAAAAAGAGCTGGGATCAGTTATTTAGCCTCCATTTTTTTTAGAAGTCTGGAAAACAAAATTTGGCTTTTAATTTATCATTTCCAAGTATCCTTGGCCAAAAAGACCAAGTTCTATTTTTCTAGTTATACTGTGCTTGCATTTTTCTGAAAAGTTCGCACTGATTTGTGAAAATTCCTTATTTCGTATTCTATACCCAATTATTTTTAATACTATCCAAGTCAGATACATTCCATAATTAATTATCCACTGCTCACTTTAATGTTCCAAGGCAAATTACCCTCAAATGCATTTTTAGTGTTTATTATTTTTTGTTTATAACAATTTTAAAGACTATAGTAAAGTGATGGCTTTCTAACTTGTCTTAATACAAAAATGTATGGAATTAGTATCTGATGAATATTACTGGCAATTGAAGACATATTAACAAAGTTTTGATGATTCAATAGGGATTATCCATATTCACAACAAAGAAATGCTGACTCACATCAAATTTAGGAATTTCATGGGAAAATGTCAACATATATAGAATTTAAAACATTATTATAAATTCCTTTGGAGTAAAAAAAAATGCCAAAGACAGTAAAGAGAATGAATAACATGAGGCTGTTCAAGTATTCAAATTTTCTACCATTGGCAAAACTTTATGTGAATATATAGTCATGGGGAAAAAAAAGTACACCCTCTTTGAGTTCTATAGTTTTATGTATTAGTACATGGTAAAAATCATCTGATCCTTAGCTTGGCTTTTTTTATATGTAAATAAATGATGACATGGTGTAATATGTCCTGTGTTGTTGATCATGTGAGGTTGTATTTACCTACTTTTAAGAACTGTCAAGGACCAGATGATTTTTACTATGTCCTGATACATAAAACCACAGACCTCAAAGAGGTATTTTCTCTTTTTACATAACTCTATGTATGTAGTGATAATATCATGATCCAAAGTTCATTGCTGAAAGAGGACAGATTTTGCACCAAACCGGTTCATACTGAACCCCAAACAAATAAGCAAAGAGAACTTGTGACTTTTTATATAAATAAAAATTATCTCTAGAAAGCCATTGAACTGGCCAACTGAACTTTTTCTGAATTTTTAATTCTCGGTGCTAAACTGACGAGATAGATAACTAAATTTTTTAGCCTAACCAAAACATTATTTTTTTTTCTAAAACGTAGCACATATCTTCTTTATGAAATCAACATCCACTAGTAAAAAGGAGTTAATTGTGCTTTAAGAAGCAGGTTATTCCTGCAACCAGAAAAAACTAATTGTAGCACTTCAGCAAAAATTGTGGAAATCAAATGATGCAATCCAATCTTACTTATAAATCTTGGGCAAATTAATATAGCTCTAATGTATATGATTATTTCAAGTTCAAAAGTGTCCCTGTGAGCTGTATCCAGCTCCTCAAAATTAAATTAGAATAATGTAACAGGAAAGAGTCTTATACAAATATGGATAAGGGAGAACTGCCTGGCCTGTTATCCATGTCCTGAAAAGTTTATAAAGTTCTGAGTTTCTGATTCTCTACAAGTTTCCACTACACACGTTTAAAAGTTAGGAAGGAGCTGCATAATAATTATATTTTAACAATAATATGAAATAATATTTTAACAATATTAGCCTTCTCTTTTCTCATCTTTTCCAAAGTTTTCAACAATCTTGCTAATTGTCCCTAGTCTGAGCTCAGAATGAATTTCTAAGTCTATTTAGAAGTCAAGAAAAGGTAAGGCAATCTAAAGCTTTGGCTAATAATGAGAGTTCCCACAGAACCAATTCATCATGATAAATCTGTCATCAAAGGGGAAAAAAAACTCAGGTGAATTAATATCTAACTGAATAAGTCAGTAACACTGAATTCGGATAGTAAATATTTCTGCTTAATACATTTCTCAATTGAAAGTACAGACCATTTAATAACAGCAAGCAATAATCTCGACCTAAAGTGATGAATTATATCAAAAGTCAGCTGAGAACTACACCATATGAATAAAAAAGCAAGGAAACTAACAAGGTTATTGGCAAGGAATACTCTGGCTGGTAAGTTTACTCATATGCTTCAAAAGTATACAGTATGCTAATCACAACTAGTGTCTTGAAAATAGTTTATTTCTTTTAAAATAAAGATACATTCATCTTGGCTTGCAATCATCAGTTAAAATAGTCATTTAACACTGATGCATATCCTTTTTCTCGGATGATACATACCTTAAATCTATATGTTTTATGTGTGGCATTTTCCTTAGTATTGGCAAACTTAGTGTCTCCATACAATTTCCAGACATGCAGAGTTTGTCCATGGCAGTAAGTTTCTCCAGGACGTCAGGAATGTCACCGAATTCATTGAAAGAGAGGCCTAAATAACTAAGCTGATGCATCCTTTCCAACTCAGCTGGAAGGCTCTGGAGGAAGTTCCCATCCAACAAGAAGGTCTGTAAACTTTTGATAAGAAAGAAGAAGAAAATTTAAAAAAAAAATCATTTGTGAAAACTTTAGGTCATTAATCAGCCATTTATGTCATGACCCAGATTGCTTTTAAATATCAGCCACAATATCAAGGATCTCAAATCTAGTTCAAGGACTAGATCAGTGGTGGCGAACCTATGGCACGGGTGCCAGAGGCGGCACTCGAAGTGGGCACACGTGCTGTTGCCCCAGCCTTGCCTCCTCCCGCGACCCCCTCCTCTCCAGCAGCACCCCTGGAGAGTCACCCCCGAGCATGGCCCAGACGCAGCAGTGCAGCCAAGGACATGGCAGCCAGGCAGCATAGACAAGACTCTGTCCTCACACTCCATCATGCAGTTGATGCTGCAGGGCGCGGGCAGAGGGTGTGGCAGCCATAGCGCTACTGGGCTGCCTGGGCAATCTGCAGCAGGCCCTGGAGGCAGTGAGTGGTCCTGTGGGCAGACGGGGTGGGGGATAGGGGGACAGAGCGGGGGTGGAGCAGGGGGTTGGAGCAGGGGCGGGGCCAGTTTTTGGGCACTCGGTCTCTAAAAGGTTCGCCATCACTGGACTAGATAAAGGATCTCCACCCCAGCCTTATTATGAGATGGGACAAGTTACAGAGTTGGAAGGAAAGTCGATCACCCTCATTTAGCAGGATCCATTCCAGGTGTTCCTGCTCCTCAACTAAGCTCCCGATCAGTCTTCACATTCTGTCTAGAGCAGGGGGCCCCAACCCCCGGTCCGTGGAACAGTACCGGTCCGCAGCATGCCAGGAACCAGTCCGCACAAACAAGCAAAGCCCCATCTGCGGGATGCAGGCAGTACATGAAACCAGGCCCCCTCCGGTCCGCAGAAAAACCTTTCTCCACAGAACTGGTCCCTGGTGCTCAATATGTTGGGGGACGCTGCTCTACAGGAGGTTGTCTTTCTGGGAGGAACCCACTAATCTTTGTGTAGGCACAGGTCATATTCTTTTCTCTACAGCCAAACACAGATTGACAACCCACTGAAGGAAGCTGCCATGCCTGAGATTCAAACCGCTTTTACCATCTTCAGTATAGACCTACTTGTTCATATCTCCAACAGCTGCTGGTATACTTCTGAGTGCATTGCAGGACAAATTGAGCTCGGTTAAGGTTGGAATGCTGCACACCGCCAAAGGGAAATCTCCTAAATGATTGTTGGAAAGGTTTAAGCTCCTCAGCTTACTGAACCTAGAACAGAGAGGAAAAACCAGAAAAGGCATAATCAATTAATAAAAAGAGCATCATAGGAGAACTATGTAACTTAGAATACTTTAGTACAGTTGAAAAAATCAGACAACTATTATTTCTCCCAGTACTAGCAAAAGAGGTTAGGGTGATTTTCACTGTTGACTCTTTATTGATCTCTCATCACTTATAAAAGCTGTAGGCTTAAATGAAGAAAGCTGTGTGCGTGCAGATGTTAATTTTGTACTGTGCAAGGCAGCATGTTGCAGAAAACAAGTGATCAAAATGTATAATGCTCAAGGGTGCACTAAAAGTCCCAGAACTATCCCACTAAAACCTATAGCCTATGTAAGATGGCAAATATAGAATTTTTAGAGTCAGTGGTGCAGGAGCTTGCCTTGCATAGACACTCTTGGAGGTAAATAAAGGTTAAAGTCACTCAAGCTCTGATCATCTCACACTTGGACTCTTGCAACGCGCTCTACATGGGGACACCCTTGAAGAGTATTCAGAAGCTACAGCTGGCACAGCATGTAGCCGCACAGATGGTTCTTGGGGGGGGGCATGTTAAACCACTGTTCTGCAAGCTGCACTGGTTGCCACTTTGTTTCTGAGTCCAATTCAAGAGGTTGGTTCTTACCTCTAAAGCCCTTCATGGTATGGGTCCAGGTTATCTGAGGAACCATCTCACCCCAATGGGATTGGCCCACCCAACGCACATGGGCAGAAGGGTCATGCTGAAGACTTTGTTGGTCAAGGAATTCTGGCTGGGGGGGGGGGACAAGAGCAAAGCCTTTTCTGCCATGGCTTCCACGCCCTGAAACATCATGCTCCTTGAGGTGAGATGGTTCTGCCAACTGGCCAGGACCCAATGGGGCCATGTCATTCTGGATATGGTTAATGGACTAAAACTATGTCTCCTCCCTATGTACATCTTGCTCCTTTCCTTCCCATCTTTGTGAATTTTAAATTTAGTGTTACTATTTATTGTTTTAATGTTTTATATAGTTTTTACTGATTGTAAGCTGTTTAGAGTTGCCCCTGGGCAAGATGGACAACGTGATTAATAAATAAAATAAAATAAAAAATAAACATAATAGCAATAGTATCACGGTTGCAAAATTGCTCAAAATTGGAAACTTATTATGATTGGTTACACAGATATTGGTTACACAGACATTGTTATCCACCTATCGAGTCCTTTCTCTAGTCCTGGGATAGGAAGACGTTACTGTATGGCTTTAAAGGTATTGTTGCAGGATGTAAGCTGTTCCAAGTAAAGCTGCCTTTTGCTTTTATTATTTTCATGGTTGCAATCTGACAGATGTTTAGATTGGATGTGGCATGAGATAGTTCTCAACTTACAATCACAATTTGGGCCAGAACTTCCATCGCTAAGCGATGCAATTATGTAGTCATTTAGCTGACCAGTTTTGCTGTGGTCAACAAATCACTGCAGTCAAGTGAATCACAAGGTTGTTATGTGAATCTGGTTTTCCCCAATGACTTTGCTTGTCCTGGGAAGGTCACAAATGGTGACCACATGACTCTAAAACTTTTAACGGTCATAGATACCTGCTATGTGACCGTGGGGATGATGGGACAGTCATAAGTCAAGGACTATCTGCACATTAAGTCTATATTCAGTTACTGTCCCCTCTAATTACTACTATTAATTCAATTACAGAAATATTGGGTAATTTCTTTTTCCCCCCAAGTTTCCTTCTGCAACTATGGGACAAAAATTATATTTGATTTTTAAACAAAAACTCAAGGAACTGTTGCTATTCTATGGTGGACTGAGCACCTCAAGATAGGTTACATGACTGGGGGCATAACTATGAAGTTACACATTCCCTAGATTCCCTCACATCAACAACTGCCTAAGTTAGGAGTATTAAATGTGTTAAACATTCTTTGAGCAAAATCATACTGCCTGGCTCATCAGAAACATACTGCAAGCTTCAATAAAATGAGCAACTCATCATTAAGTTTTCAATTAGTAGCACTCATTAAAAAAACAGTTTCTTAGTATTATAATGAGAAGTTTTTTACACAGGGCAACTCCTTTTCTACAATTTAATTTCATAATGTTTTAAAACCTCTCCTTGAAACCTACCCAAGGAGAAATAATCCTTTTAATCCTTCTCAAAAGTTTGTGTACCTCAAATTTGCAACAGCATCCTAACTAGGACTTGATTTCAAGTAAAAGTGATGCAACGAAGAGGGCACGAAGAGATTAATCAAGAAAGCTAGAGGATAACCAAGTTAGCCAATGTGCTTCTGTAGCCACATTACTCAGATTACCTAACAACAGGGGTTGTGAGGTGTGTCACCGAGATAAATGGCTCAATGAAGTGGTTTAAATGGCCCAATGAAAAGATCTGTACCAGGTTCAGATGGAGAGAGATTCAAAGTTCATTGAAAGGTTTTATTTTCCCTTCATTAAATCTCACATGATGAGGGAATTAATACACACATGCAGCATCAAGAAAGCACTTTGAAAAATCAGCCATCTGAGAGCTCTCCCAAAGTTAGCATCATTCCTTCCCAGCTTGACCCCTTTTCAGTCACGGAAAACTAGGGCAAATATGAAAGGAATATAGTTCAGTGCTAATATTTAGGAAAATCCTACAGGAAAAAAAAATAGAGCAGAAAGATACCTCTCAAGAGGCCAGCCAGGTCAGAGAAATACAATCTTTCTAGCTCTCAGGAGAAGACATTTAGGAATCTCAGGAAATCACAACTTCAAAATAGTTTTCATAGGGACATAGCTAATAATCAAACAAGAAAGAACAAATTATAATAAAGTAAGAAATAGCTTAATTGTAACAACAAAAACACCTGAAGTATACAAAAACATGGACCACATAGACCCAGTCAAAATAACGTCATCATGCAGCAGCCCAAATCTGGGGAAATGGTTATGAAACTTTCCACCCTACTCAAACCCCCTTTTTGTGTTGTTGTTAGTTGCAACATAAACAAAGCAATGCTGGCTTTTTCAACTTCTGCCTGCCTCTTTCTTCTTCAGATAACTCTACATACTGTCCATTAACTGAGACAGGCAAGAGAAAGGCAGGATAGGCCATTTAGTTCAGATGCAACAGAATGCCAGTTTATCATGAAACTTCTTTCCCTGGCTTTGGAATGTATAATGCACTGAAGACATGATTGTAAAGAAAGTGGGTAACTGTTCTAGGTTGCTTTAGGTTTCAAAATTGAAATTTGAATCATGTGTGGCACTTTTTTGTTGTTGTTGAGGCCGTGCTAGCAAGCTGTGGACACAACAGCACCACAGACTCCACCATCTCAACTCAGAAATCAGGTTAAACTCAGTCTAGTTATACTGGGCTAATAAAACATAATTTACTTGAAGAAGTAAAACGTGTCAGCAGGCCCCAGTGTAATGGTTTTACTGGACAAAGAAATCTCAAGAGATAAGCATTTTTTTCCCAAATGTATTTCAAATGATTTTCTGCACAATCAGTAAATCTCACATATCACATTTAATTTTGAAATTTCCCCAGTATTTCACAACCTAAGGTCCATCTTTCTTTTATCATTCAATTCTTTTCCTTCTCATAAGAATATTAATGGTACATTATTGAATCTATCTTGAATTTATCAATTACTTTTCCTTTAATTCAATCATGTCTGATTCTCAGAGTCTGCCTGGAGTCTTCTTGGCTAGGTTTTCAGAAGTGGTTTGCCATTGCTTCCTTCCTAGGACTGAGAGAAAGTGACTGGCCTAAGGTCACTAAGTTGGCTTTGTACCTACTAGACTAGAACTCATAGCCTCCCGGTTTCTAGCTTGATGTCTTAGCCACTATGACAAACTGTCTCTCTGTTTACCCAAACCATTAACTCAAAAATTCAATGTACTTCACTTAAGCATTATTTGATTTCAAATGAATGGAATTCGGGAGATCTCTCCACCCTTATACACTGCTGAGTATTTTTATGCTACATGCTATGTTTTTATCCAGGGAAAAAATAATCTAGCATTCTAAAAATCTCCTACAATATTCTTGAGCATCTTCCTGCATTTACCATCCTTCTAAATAGTTTTCTGAATAGCAGAATTTGATTAACTCAGACAAAAGTTAAGTTAGACTCAATAGCAAGGAAATCCGAAGAGGGGAAAAAAAAAAGATTTCAGGAAGTATAGTAAATCCTGTGAAACAAGATGCTGATTGGACAGTTGTGAGCAATTCCTAGTAGAAGAAAATATGGAAGTTATCTGAAGAGTCTAGCATAAATACATGCAGCGCTTTCTAAAACGCTGGAGGAAAAAAATTGATGTGTTAGAAATGTGTAAGAAAAGGCCTAGGGGTGAATAACCAAGGCAGACACTAAAAAGTGTAGGTACTCAGTCAGAAAAATTTAAATGCGGAATAAGCTGAACAAAGCAACTTTTCAGATTCCCCATGACAATATCTTATATCATATATCTCAACCTCAGCAATCTCCCATAAACTACATATTTTATAACATTTTTTTTAAAAAAAGTTATGTATTTATAGAATTCTACATATTCAAGCATTTCCTTGAATTGGGAAGATATAGCTTCCTAGGTGCAAAGTCTAAAGAAAGAGGTAGTCATTGCTCTGAATGTAGGAGTATAGCATCGAAGTAGTAATCTGAGAATTAGAAAAGGTAGTTTTCTCCACAGCAGGTGCCAATATTAGCCCACTATATAATTTAGGATTAATATTGCTTTTAAAAAGGTAAAGGATTCCCTGTCCAGTCGTGTCCAACTCCAGGGTGTGGTGGCTCATCTGCATTTCTTCGTTGAGGGGACCAGCATTGTCCAAAACATTTTCTGTGGTCCTGTGGCCAGCATGGCTGTATGCCAAAGATGCACAGAACACTGTTACCTTCTCACAGAAGTGGTACCTATTAATCTACTCGCATTTGCATGCTTTCAAACTGCTACGTGATCAAGAGCTGGGGCAGGAACAGGAGCTCACCCCATTGAACAGTGCTTGGGTCTCAAACAT